GGTCCATAGAACTGTCGCTAGTATTATCTCCTTCGGAGTCCGGAAAACAGGGAAAGCCCAAGAGGCAGTTCGTTTCTGATGATGAATCTCGTCCTAAATCAGTTCGCCTTCTGCAGGCCCACACATCAGAGGTAAGGATATGTTCGTGCGCAGTACAATATTGATTAACGTTCCATGTGTCTTCTTAGGTCTTCGTTTGCTCTTGGAACCCAATCATAAGAGGACAACTAGTGTCAGGGTATGTTTATGCAAAACATTTCTATACATTTCCTCAGATTATTCCATGTAGTTCTAGAGATGCTGTCCTAAATTACTGGAACATCCCTGTAACCGACGACGACGTATTTGCTCAACCTCAGTTGGATCCTGCAATCGCATTGACGGATCTAGCAGCAGCAACACAAGCTGATTTGACCTCGTTGGACTGGAATAGCGATGGTTCACTATTGGCAATCGGGTCCTATGATTCCATTTTACGTATTTGTACGGCGTCTGGTAAACTATATTTTTCTGATAATCGACATAAAGTGAGAAAGAACAGGTAATTTATCTCCATTCACAAATTCAGTAGCATCGTTTATCTAGGGCCCTATCTTTGCCGCCAAATTTTCGCCATCTGGTCAGTGGGTGGTCACTGCAAGTTTGGATGGTACGTCGTGCGTGTGGGACGTCAAGAATAGGAAGGTTCATCGACACTACCGTAGCCATGAAGGTCAGTATGCAGCTTTTTCTGAATTGCGTGGTATTCACCAAAAACAAGACTGCTGCCTAGATATTGTTTGGCTCGATGATTTTACATTTGCTAGTTGTGGGGCGGATCGTATGATATATATAATGTCACTGGGAGAAACCAAGCACATTGTAACCCTGAAGCAAGTGGATTTATACCAAGGGAATGCCCCCCATACTTATCTTTCGCACAGGGGACATACAAACGAAGTGAATTCTGTGAAGTGCAGCCCTTCTAAAACTCACCTCGCCTCATGCGCCGATGACGGGACCGCGCGGATATGGGATGTTACAGATATCCACAACCCAAAATACGCGGACGATTGTGTCATATTAGCAGGACATACCTCGTGTCTTACAGGTATTGACTGGAGCCCTAATAGCTCTCTTGAACATAATGAACTAGTAGCTACGTAAGTAGCATCTCTTGCTTCGGGTTTCATTATCTTGATGCTTAGCATTGGTAGTGCATCGTTTGATCTGACGGCGCGGCTGTGGGATTCCAAGACGGGTGAATGCTTGAGGGTCTTTATGGATCATTTCAAGCATGTCTATGCCTTGTCATTCAGTCCTGATGGACGGCACCTTGCAACTGGCGGAGGCGACGGGTGGCTCCACATTTATGACACAGAGGTATGTCAAAAGTGTGTTATGGGCGCGATGCAGGACCTGGCTTATCAAATTTAGGTGAAAGAAAAGTTATGGTCGTGGTATACGGGTGAGAAGTCTGGTATCTTCGAAATAGACTGGCACAGTTGGGGGAAAGAAAGCCTGGTATCTGTAGCACTGGAAAGCCGCGCAGTTGCGGTGATAAATTTCAGGAAGATAACTGCTCCTCAGCTCGATACTTGAATCATCATGGTTCTCTAACGCTTGAGATTGAGGAGATTTTATCGTCCTGAAATGTCTTTGAAAATGATTTGAAAAACAATGTATCTCGTTCAAAATTTCAACTGCCCGAAATTACCGATTTCGTCTGTTATGAATTCCACAGCAAGCATAACCAACTTTTGTCACACCCAAAATCAATGAAAAAGTCTGAAAGTAGTTAAAATGTAAAAGCCTGAAAGTAGTTAACATATTTGATTATATTTTGGACCTACAAGATTTTGTGAGAATGATGTATTTTGGTTGACATATTTCCATGGATACTATGTTTTGTGTGGAAAAATAGAAATATGTTAACAAAAATACATTATTCTCACAAAATCTTGTAGGTCCAAAGTACAATCAAATATTTTAACTACTTTCAGGCTTTTTCATCAATTTTGGGTGTGACAAAAGTCAGCTATGCTTGCTGTGTACACGGCCAATTCTAGGCTTTATGGCTATCTTCCGTATAGCCCCAATGATTTCCAAATTTATGCGTGCCATATTGATTCTAGGACATGGTGTGGATATATTGTGACACATATGGCGGTGAGCAGCTACTAATATATGGCCCTTGTATAGCAAGGAAACATAGCAGCCATATACTTGGAATGTATTCTCTATATAGCATACATATTATACTTTATCTACATGACTGGGGTGTATAATATTTAAGTCTAAATAATACACGGTTTGCAAGGAGTTTTCTTCAACTCCACAACAAAAAATCAATTCAGAATATTGTAGCATCCACCCAAGGTACATATTACAATTTTCTTTGGCAAGAACAAACATGTTTAGCAAGGTGAAATAACGGGATAAGGATACAATAAGGGAACACATTGGTTGAATTCTGACCATATGTATGCAAGAATATGCTTTGGGCCACTAACTGATGGCCTCTCCATATCTTCACTCAGCTCTCCCGTAAGCCAGTGCTTGACACAAACACCCTCCAATGGATCCTTGCATCCCATTGAGCCCACTTACCACATAGGAAACTTGGGTTTGCACCAAGGACGGTGAGCCAAAATACATTATGACCCCAAGCCCATTCCTGTGAATGAGCGGGCAGGGCTACAAGCCACAATTGAACCTCTTTGTAATGCACTGTCCAGTGTGCCTATTTGGAATAATCAAAGGAGTGGGGAAGACGGAAGAAGGGGATATGGGCATGCAAGCCACCATCTGAGAATACGTCTTTGTTGCCACTTATCCGGGAAGACATCTTAGCAAATTGTATATCAGAGATTGGTCAGAACAATGTGACAGTAGAGAAAGAAAGAAGGAATAAACACTTACATTGCCCAAGCATAACAAAATTTCTGACCTCCATATATCCCATGTTATCGCTTTTACTATAGGTTTTGTGAGAGAGACCAAAATTTTAATTGGTTGTTTGTAGAAGAAAAAATCAGCTAAAACCAGCTAGTGTGGCAACACCAACAAGACACAGTCTTGGGGCACTGGAGCACAACAACAACCACACTTAACGGAGGATAAGGAAGTGTACAACTCATTAAGAGAGGGAACTTGTCATACTAATGTTGGTAGACACTAGAAGAGGACTCACTGAGTCCCTCCTCATGTATTGCTCCATTATATATACTAAAATATACGAGGTACTGTACAGTAGTAAATAAAGTTCATAGTCCAATGTCTAGCATGTGATTGGTCACATGATGATTCTAGACACTGGTCAGGTGATGTGTCATATGATTGGTCATGTGACTATGAAAAGTCCGAAAATATGAAGTAAAGTCAATGGTCACATGATCAGTCATGTGAGTTGGAAAATGAAAAGTAAAAGTACAAAAGTGAAGCGTAAGTAGATGCTGGTATGTCAATTGTAACAGCTAGAGTTAGGGAGTAAAACAATCCTTACAACATCATCATGCACAATTCACTTTGAATAGCACCAGGAAAACATATAGTGACTAAGACCGGCTTCAGTGAGGCATCTTGTGAACCATTATAGTGCACTGATGGAGGGACAGTGGAAGTTTCAAGAATTTCCTGCTGAGTATCCATGTAATCCAAAGTGCTTCAGGAGTCTTGGGTTGTTTTGAACAACAGACCATGGAACATCAAATAGGCACATGACTTTCAGATTAATGGCAATGACAATGCAATCATATGATCGTGATTCAATGACACACTGGCACATTTTCCCTACCATCAAGCAGTCAATCACTTGCAGAAGGAATGGCTTCATGAATAAAAGAGAGCCAAAGTGAGTGTATTTATTCCTTCACAAACTGATTACCACCAACCCATGTAGTCATGCAATACAGCAAAGATAGGCTATGTGGTTTGTATGGTGTGTCCTCTCAAAAAAGACTGGCATTGAACAATGGCAATACATCTGCTCTACAAATATACAAATACCATGCTACATGTATGACATTACAATCATCATTACAATGGATGTTGTTACAGTCCCCCTTACCTCCAATGGCTTGTGTAAATGGTAAGGTTCATTTTGTAGACAAAATGTTACAGGAATGCTTGGGAAATCATTTCATTCCTAAGCAGTTTTTGTGGCATCATATACAGATACAGGCTTTACTACTGGAGATTTGGAAGGCTCCAAGGAGCTTTATGCTCTGGGTGGCTCTGTCCAAAAGACTGAGGTAAAGTTAGTTTGTGCTGAGTAAATCAATCTAACTTTGTTATATCCAAGCTGGCTTTATTATAAACAGTGAAAAAGAAATTATCCCTAATTCAGATTTCCAATACTTGTGTGAAGACATTGCGCACTGTGAAAATGAGCTTGCTTGCAGGCTTACAGGTGCTTGATCAGTCAATACAATGAAAATTTTGAGTTAATCTACCATTACAGAGTCATCTACAGAATATACAAAGCTCCTCCCACACCTACTTTAAAAAAAGGCTAAAGATTAAATGGTATATTCCATCCTTCTGGCAACATTTCAAAGCAGTGGAATAAGCACCACATTATTTATATGTCCAATGCTACGATACACAAATTCTCTGACCTTCAACTTTTATTCTCAGTTTTTACACACTGTGCCATGTGGCACTTTTCTTTTGTTCAAACTCCATTTTCTTGCACTGCACTGCTTCCCTTTATTTTAGATAATAACTCTCTCACATGGTAGAGATGGCCATACGGGCTGTGCCCTATGACATCATCCACCACTGTTTTGTCAACTGTATAGTATAACATGTACAAATAAACTATAGTAGTATATACCCCAATAGATCCAGGAGACTCATCAGTGCGTTCTTCTGTTGTATACCCACAACTAACTTTTAAAAATTTGGTTGTTACATCCAATGTAAACTTACCTCAAGAGGTCTTAGAATAAGACTTTTATGTTAAATTTCTAACATCTCCTCCAAATACAGCCCTAATGGAACTTATGTGAGCCATGAAGTGGCAATTTGGTGAGTTAGCAATCAGAAATAACCATGCATAGACTAATTAAAAAATATCAAAGCTGGGATCACAGCATAGGATTGTAGAGATGAAGAAGAGGTTATGCTTATCCCACATTCCCTCTTTATTGCAGGAGACAATCCTATGCAAGCCAAAATGTAATTATTTCTGTAGAATGTGTAACATAGGAGGAACAAAAGGTTACAAGGAGACTGAAGCTGGATATAACTGGACTGTGCCAATATCCACCCTGCCCTGGCTGTAGCCCAAACAGCTTGAACCTGTGAGAGTGATTTTGTTGATGGTTTGATAACCCAGGGTGCCTCTGTGAATAGTTGTTTTTGGTGATGGTCCTGATTGCATTTTGTTGAGCTCCATGGCCCTACCAATTATGCGGACCTCTTTTGCCACCTGTGCAAGGTTCTTGCTTCTCATATCCTACAGATAGACCTGTCTGTTCTGCAAAATGAGTGGCCATATTGTGTTCCAGCAGATCTATCTCGCACTTTGTGCAAACCCGGACCACAGGGTTAAGTGGAGTCTTTTGAACAGTAAGACTTTGGCCCCAGTGTTAAGGGGAGTACTATAGCTCAGCAGTTGGTGTGGAACCACTGTTGATTGATTATAATTTGCATACAAAACTTCTCTTTCTCTTTCCTCTGACCAGGCCAGGCACTTGCCTCCGCCAGTCTGGAGAAGGGTCGACAGCTTAACAAGCAGACCACCCCCTGACAACTGTTTGGACCAGGGTTTCTTACATTTACATTTTTTTCATATATTTTTTCAAATACTATAGTTTGGGTAGTTGGAGATTGATATCCAATACTCAGCTGGGAAGAGGTAGATCTGCAGATAGCAACTGGGGACCCCAGTTACATTTTTTTTTTCATTTTACCAAGAGAACAAGTTGACATATTGTTGCAACCCCACCAACCTGATGTTAACACTCTGCTGCATAATGTGCATGCACAGATTCTGATGTTAACCACCCAGCTCAGCAAAATTCAGGCAAACCCCCCTGAACAAGTTGAGCAAGAATTCAATTAAAAAGTCAAAATTGTCACTGACCCCAGCACTTTCAAAGGAGACTGGGCTCAATTTGCTGAATGGTAGATCAAGCTCCAAAATTGGATCAAGGCAAACTGGGACGTGTTTGCCGATGATTTCAAAATAGCAACAGCCGTGCTGTCTAGACTCAAAGGACCTGTAGTGGGTCAATACACCCAAGTTAGACTCCAAGAATGCTACACCGCTGGTCACTGGCCTACCTGGGACAATCTCAAAGTAGAGATCAAAAAATATTTCAAACCCGAAGCTGAGCATGACAGGGCACATCAGCAAATCTGTTCCTTCAAACAAGGAAATATGAGGACAGATGACTTCATAACCCAGTTCATGGCCGTCTCCATCCAAGGAGGTCTTGGAAATGGAAATGCTGTAGAATTGTTAGAACACAATGTGTCACAAGCCATTGTACAACAACTCTATCTGCAGGACATGAGAAACAAGAATCTCTTAGCAGCTGCAGAAGAGGTCCGCATAATCAGGAGAGCTCTGGAGCTTGACCAAATGCAATTCGGTGGCGGGTTCACCACCAAAAACAGTTATTCCCAGAGGTGCCCTGGGTCATCAAACCAAAATCAAAGTCATTCTCATGGGTTTAAGCTGTTTGGGCTGCCATAAGGGCAGGGGGCCCCCATGGATATCAGTGTTGTTACATACTGTATCTCTCATGGACTTTATTTCTTCTTAGAGTAGCTACCTACCGCTACTCACTCATATTTTCCCACACTAGTTACCTATTACGGTCTCACCTGTCATTGTTTGTTCAACACAAACACCTACCCTAAAGTAGACAGTATATATACATGCCTGTATTGTGGATTACATCTCCAATACAATTGTACGCTTCAACAGTGCAACTTGGTATTCATCAGTAAAATCCTCTTCATCAGAATACATCTCAAACCCGTTACCTACGGGCTTATCAGAAACCGCTTCATTGCCAGAAACCCCTCTTGTTACCAGGCTTGTACATTCCAAGCGTAACAAGTGTGGTCCAAGGCGGACAGATGCGCAGATTCAAGGCCAACAGCTACAATTGCAGCAAGGAGGGACACATATCCCAACACTGTAAAAATGGAGTGTAGGCTGCCCAACAAAGACAAAACAACGGGTGCCAGGTGCACCAAATAGAAGCAGAACAGCTGGACAGTTGACTCAATACTCTGGCCAATTGTCCGTACAACAAAATCTGAGCTTTTTTCTATGATCAACCAATCACTGAGATGAAAGCTTAGGGAAAAGAGTTCAGAGCTTAAGTCACTTGGGTGCCTTTGCTTCATGTAATGATGAAGTAAACCACAGCAAGGTGGCCTCTGCTCTGGGGTGTTGCACGAGCAATAGAGAAAAGGGGGTGGCTCCCCATTTTGTACATAGATTTCTAAATTTGTTAAAATGTAACTGCAATATTTATGATACTACCACTGCACCAGCATTTTCCCCAGGAGCGTGGCCCTGGTGAGACAAATACTAGGGTGCTTGATTCTGGTCAAAATAAAAATAAAAATATAGAAAAGTCTAAAGTAGTAAAACATGTTTCTTTTGATAATTCTTCTTCTTTTTTGGAGCCACTTTCTACTAAAACCCCAAGCTGTGTGTTGATGTGCACATATTTATTCCAAAAGGAGATCTGTTTAGATGTTGGTGTGGAAGACCTTGCCCGAGGCACAGTACACCCAACAAGCGCACTGCTTGATTCAGGTGCTAACAGTATTTTCATAGATTAGGTCTGTGTGGAGCAGAATAGACTCCCCCTTGTAAAATTAGATATGTCTATTCCTGTCTATAATGTTGATAGTACACTAAACACGGTTTGCTGCATTATTGTAAATTAGGGAGTGTCTCACTGATATATGGTGGTTCACTCTGATTATCTTTTATCACTCACTAACTCACACAGTGCTGAATTTAACCTGGGTTATATTTAATGGTATGTAAGAGTTTGCAATGAGATTGTCCTAATTTAATTGCAAACTTGGTAAATAGCTATGTGGCTTAAAACTACATAGTTTACACTACCTCTTTTGGATGCAAGGTATGACTAATGGTCAATACCTTATACCCTCCCTGTAACAACCAAGAGTTAGTTACTCTGGCGCACACAGGAACACACTATAAAGGTGGTGATGAGGGAGTGGTTACCCCTTAAGCTGCAGAGAGTTTGTTGGTATACAACAGGAGGACTCGCTGAGGAGTCTCCTTGATCTATTGGGGTATTTATACTAATACAGAGTGTTTGTACCTATGTACTGCACAGTTGATAAAAGCAGTGGCTGATGATGTCAGAGGGCGCAGCCTATGTGATCAGCTCCACTGCGTGAGAGACTTTGTGTCTAAAAGAAGAATAAAGGCAGCGTCGAGCGAGAAAGTGGAGTTAGAATGAAAAAGGAAAGTGCCGCATGGCATGGAGTGTGAACTATAGTAAAAGGTTAAGGCGGAGAATGAAAATTAAAGGAAAGGTCCAAAATTTGTGTTATTGTAATACTATTGTAACACTACCCCCCTTCTAAGGCTTGACATCCAGGCTCGACCAAATACCGGAGGTGGTAGTTAAATTTTCAGGCATAGTTTGAAAAAGGGAATTAAAAAGTTTTGAATCTATGCCTCTAAGCTTCCTAGGAGCTGAGGGATTTGTAGAATAAAATTTGCAAACAGTGTTGCGGGAGTTATCCAGATAGGCTTCTGGCTCCACTTCAGTCACCCCCAAAACATAAGCATTTAGCTTCAACTATCTGTGTAAATGTATAAAGCTAAGAGCTTGTTTTTCCTGGTATCATCCCAAGTGCTCCAGCAAGGATGGGATCATCCCAGAAGTGAGATAATACCACCCTTCTGGGATTTTCCCATGGTATCAGACCATTTGTTATGGTGGGATAATCCCATTAGATGGGATAATCCCAGACATTTGCCACATGTCACATGGTGTCAGGGGGGCTTTACTGCAAAAATAGTTCCTGCATAAATGTAGCCAACATCAATACATTATCAATAGTAATAATAGCCATGAAGCAGAATACAATACTACCTGCTTTCATCATTTATATCATATATACAAATTTCAAATGGTGTTTACTCTCAATTGAACCTTAATTTGTCCAGCTTCTAGTGTAATATCATATACTATAGATTGATGGAGGAGACTTTGACCAAAGGTTAGTGTAACTAATTGTGACATATAACCATTTACAAATTAACCTGATTTAATTCAGTTGATTAGGAGATAATTCAACCATATCTCTTTTCCTTAACTGACTATATAACTTTGTCATTCCTACTTATCATATAATTTACTGCATATCACAAAGTAGATTTATCTACCCTGGATTTCTATCAATGTTACTTAAAATGGCTTATAGTCAAAGGAATACAAGATGTTTGACAATACCAAGCATATACATCTGCAGGATTACAATACCTCTCATTCAGGCTCATCCAACTTTAAATAATGTAACACTCTTGCAACCAGGCAAAGATATGTCACAAATCCATTTAATGTGCTGATCCAAAAGATATGATATTTTTTTGAATTGTGCAGCTTTATCCAAGTGCCTGAACTGAAAAATGCACAAAGATACCAGTCCGAGTAAGTACTACATATTCATTATCCTTCCCTCTGCTGCATCATTGTCAAAGGCAGAACATGTCTTGCATGAGACAAATTGCTGGCTCTTTGTGGCAGCCCAGCATCCACAAGCCAACACCCATTTTATCCACTATATGTCCCCACGCATACAATTGATTATAAATTTTTGTGAAAACAAAAATGGCTGAAAGGTGTGCTCTGTATGCTTATGCAATTTCATGTGACTTGGGATGAACCTACGTGAGGGCTACTCTGAATCACTGTCCCAGTTCAACCTTAGGTTCATCCAGGTCCTACCATAACATAATAGTTGGTTTACAAACAAAATACTGCAACATGTAAAAAATGGAAACTGCTGGAAAAGGACAATAATATTTTAAGCTGCTGGGAACTTACCTATGATTATATGTTACAGAATAACCTTAGTGCATTTCAGGAGTATTTTCCCCTGTCATGCTGAGTCACCAGCAGCCTAAGCATGCTATTCGATAATTCTGTTCCTGTTGTGGGATCTCCCTGTCCTATTCTGACTCAGGGTGATCTTGTCCCCTGCTTGGATTTGTCTGTGATGTAGTGAGATGATCCTATGTAATTTGGAGATTTTTCTAGATCAGATTGAACTGGAATGATCCCATCTCTTTCCAAGACTTTCCTTGGCTGGTTTGGGATGATGCTTTACCCTTCAGGCATTGGTCCATATCAAATTGTGATGATCCCATCCCATTTGGTATTTGTCCACATTTAACTGGGATCATCCCCTTTTTTGCTGGGATTTTCCCAGATTGGTTTGAGATGACCCTATCCCCCCTTGGTATTTGTCCATGTTGAACTGAGATTTTCCCAGATTGATTTGGGATCATCCCATCCTCTTTTGGTATTTGTCCATGTTGAGCTGGGATCATCCCATCTCTGGCTGGGATTTTCCCAGAGTGGATTGGGATCATCCCATCCTCTTTGATATTTGTCCATGTTAAGCTGGGATCATCCCATCCTATTTTGGTATTTGTCCATGTTCAACTGGTATCATCCCATCTCTTACTGGGATTTTCCCAGATTCAATTGGGATCATCCCATCCTCTTTTGGTATTTGTCCATGTTAAACTGGTATCATCCCATCTCTGGCTGGGATTTTCCCAGAGTGGATTGGGATCATCCCATCCTCTTTGGTATTTGTCCATGTTAAGCTGGGATTTTCCCAGATTCAATTGGGATCATCCCATCCTATTTTGGTATTTGTCCATGTTAAACTGGTATCATCCCATCTCTTGCTGGGATTTTCCCAGATTCAATTGGGATCATCCCATCCTCTTTTGGTATTTGTCCATGCTTAACTGGGATCATCCCATCTCTTGCTGGGATTTTCCCATATTGGTTTGGGATCATCCCATCTCATTTGGTATTTGTCTATGCTTAACTGGGATTTTCCCAGATTGGCTTGGGATTATCCCATCCTCTTGTGGTATTTGTCCACATTGAGCTGGGATCATCCCATCCCTTTATGGTATTTGTCCATATTGAACTGGGATGATCCCACCCCCTTCTGGTATTTGTCCATGTGAGAAGTGGGTAACCCCATGTTACGTGGGGACATGTACAGATTTAACTGGGATGATCACACCCTATTTCAGGGATTTGTCCAGATCAGTGTGGGATGATCCTCAGTAAAAAAAATCAAAAGTTGGGCAATGTCAATGGTCAGAATCAGTTTTGAAGGAAATTACCTGAGTTCTACATATTGCCATAAAAATGATAATCCAAAAAGAGTGGTGTGAGACAGCATCACTATCATATGAGAGACAGAGAATGTTGGCAGAAACCTTACTTGGCATGAAAAAATATTTTCCGGATTCATTTCAATTTCTCAAGAATCTAAAAAAAGAATACCTTTACAGCACTCAGATTCTTTGTGGACTTAGATACTGTACTATACACAGTCAGCATATAGGCACCAGTCACCCCTTAGACCTTCAGCTGGTAGCTCCCAGAAATGGCACAACTCAAGGTATTAAATACCTAAGCAGTGCCTAATTAATCCTCACACTCAAGTCATCTAGTGTAGGAGTATCAAAATGGAGACCTTGTGTATTATACTGTACATAGCAAGCATCCCCCTCTCCCCATAGACCTTCAGCCAGCAGCCCCCAGGAACCACTCTCAGAGAATGTACAATATAAGGTATCAAATACCTTGGTAGTGCCACAAAAGTGGTAAATTCATGTTTTTGCAAGAACATGACTTTATGTTTCTTTTTACTATGTTTTACTTTCTACAAGGTCAGGATTTTCCTCACAGAATATGCCAGATCTAGTGTAAATCTAATATTCGATGTCCTTCTGCAGATTACTTTGTTGTCACAGCATTTGTGTTGTGTTTCCTAGTTTTTACTTCAATTAAGGGTATAATAAACCTTGCAAAAAAGCAGAACTCACATATCACATCTATCAGCAAGGACAACAGCATCTTTCTAGTGTATGGTTCCTGCAATTGATTATATCTAGAAATTGATAATGTTCCACATTTAAAAAAAAGGGAATGCTTCTCCCCAAATTTGCAGTAAGCTACAATGAGGAACTTGTAACTCATATATTTCAAAATAGTCTTGATTATATTGGGCTAAAGTACCATTATTCAGGTGGAAAAGACTGGAAATATCTTCACTAGTTGGCCCAGCATTCTCACATGTTAGTATTAGCACCAATCCCCCTGATACCATGTGACATGTGACAGGTTATTGGGATTATCCCATCTGAGGGATAATCCCACTATGGTACATGGTCTGATACCATGGGAAAATCCCAGAAGGGTGGTATTATTCCGCTTCTGGGATGATCCCATCCTTGCTGGAGCACTTGGGATGATACCAGGAAAAACAAGCTCTTAGCTTTATACATTTACACAGATAGTTGAAGCTAAATGCTTATGTTTTGGGGGTGACTGAAGTGTCTGGCTCCCACGTTCTGTCCTCGTCTCCATAGCCTTTCCATAGGACTAGGAACTCTAGTTTACCACACTTCAAGCATGCATCCACCACCCGTTTGGCTTTGAACTCTTCTTCACCTTCCTGGGTGACTACAACCGGTCTGGGCCGGTCTACACGCTGTCCTGGCAGCGGCCCTTTGTAGGGTTTCACACGGCTAATATTGACCGTGGGTACTACCCTCATTCGTTTTGGGAGTTCCAACTCCACTGCATTGGGTTTGACTTCCTTAATCTGGTATGGGCCAATCCACTTTGCAGTCAGTTTTCTAGACTGCCGATCTTTTAACTTTAAGTGGTCAGTATCTAACCAGACAAGGTCGCTGACCTTGTAGTCAGGGGCCATAGAGCGTCTACGCTCTGCCCTGTCTTTCATCTGCTCTGCAGTTTTAAATAGCACCTTGCGCGTTTCGTCCAAGACAGACTTCATGTCTTTCCCAGCAGCCTCGTTCTTGCTTTTGCCAGGTTCTACACCCATTCTGGGGAGGTACAATCTCGTTACCTCGAATGGTGCCTTTCCTGTAGCCGACGACTGTTTTATATTGTATGAGAACTGGGCTATCTTTGGGATGGAACACTGTTGATAACTTAAGTTTGATGCCCAGCATCCAGCATAACTCTTTTGTAAATTCGCTAGCGAATTGTGGCCCTCTATCGGAGATAACCGTTTCTGGTAACCCATGGATAGACCATACAAAATCTTTAAATAAATCCGCCGTACCAGCGGCGGTAATGGTTTTGTTGGTGGGTATGAATACCACTTCTGTGGAGAAGCGAGCTACCACCACCATTACTGAATCATACCCATTTGACTTGGGTAGATCCGATATATCCTGCCAGGGACCAGCTGGTATTGGATTTGGCATAAGTTTACCGGCCGGCGGTTGATAAGAGTTCTTTGCCATGGCACATCTCAGACAGGATTTTATGTATTCCTGTACATCTTTAACCATGCCAGGCCACATATAGTTTCTGAAGATCAACTCCATTGTTCGTTGCCACCCAGGGTGCCCAGCTACTGGAGTGTCGTGATGTCTGTCTATTGCCTTGATCCTTGTGGACTCAGGCACATATATTTTGTCTTTAAAGTGGAAGAGCCCGTCTTCCCATAAATAGTTTTCATTTCCATCAAGGCACGCCTTCTCTTCTGAGGAGATGTCTTTCTTGAAGACTTCCAGAAGATTGGAATCCTGCCCGATTCTAACATTGGCAACCCTTGATTGGTCTATCAGGGTAACACCTTTCTTGTCATCTTCGAGGCCGTTAGCATGATCCTCTCTTCTGGACAAAGTGTCTGCTTTCCCCATAGAGCTTCCAGGCTTATGAATTAATTTATAATTAAACCTTGACAAGTATACCACGTAGCGGGCCTGTCTTTAGTTCAAGTCTTGGGCTGTCATAAAATACTCCAGATCCTTATGATCAGTCCAAATTTCAAAGTGGTGCCTAGCACCTTCTAAATAGTGCCACCAGTGCTCTAAAGCTCAAATGATGGCTAGCATCTCTTTGTCGTAAATTTGATAGTTGCACTCTGTAGGCAACAAACTATTCAATAAATAGGCACAAGGCCTCCAAAGATCGTCAGGGCATTTGAATTGACAAAACAGCCCCAGTAGCAAAATCAGAAGAGTTGGTTTCTAGCTGGAACTCTTTGTCTAATTCTGGAAATGCTAATATGGGCACTGTTGTAAATGCCTTTTTAAGCTTATCAAAAGCTTCTTGTTCTTTGGCGCCCCAGTGCCAAACAATATCCTTTTTAGTGAGATCGTTCAACGGTCTCATGATTTTTGTGAAGTTTTTGATAAACCTTCAGTAGATATTTCCTAAGCCAAGGAAGGCCCTAACTCCTTTGACGCGAGTAGGTTCTGGCCAGTCCAATATAGCTTGAACTTTCTCAGGATCCATCCTGATTCCGTTCTAGCCTATGATCATACTGAGGAAGTCTACTTCCTTCACCTTAAAATTACATTTTTCGGGTTTGATGAATAGGTCCCGTTCCTGTAAGCATCAAAGGACTTCTTGCATGATCCTGTCATGCTCAGCCTCATCATCCAACTTCGTAAATATAAACAAATTGTCAATGTAAATGACGACCCAGTTTTCCATATCCGCAAAGATCTCATTCATCATGGTCTGGAAGGTTGCTGGTGAGTTGGTCAACCCAAAGAACATAATGAGGGGTTCGAAGGATCCTTGGTGGCACGTGAACGCGGCATTCCAAGCATCTTCTTCTTTGATCTGTACATTATTGTACCCCCATCTGAGATCCATCTTTGTTAAGATTTTGGCGCCAGCAAATTTGTCTACTAGCTGACTGATCAAAGGCAGCAGATACACATTTTTAACTGTGTGCTCATTCACGTAACAATAATCCATAATCATGCACTTCTTACCATCCTTTTTAGGGATGAAAAACACCGGGGACGTCATAGGGCTTTTGGAAGGTCTGATGTAACCCTTCCTAAGCTGTTTGTCTATGAAACTTGACACCCCATCTCTTTCTGGAGCAGAGAGTGGTATCATGTGTCCTTTTCTTGGTTTGAAGGTGTCCTTCAAATCTATTGCATGGTCCCAAGGCTTAGCCTCTGGGAAGCGTTCTGATTTATGTTTTGAAAAGACTTTCCAGAAGTCATGATACTCGGGAGGTACCAGCCTCTTAATCTCTTCCTCGAGCTTTACCTCATCATTGTCATTGTCAATCTTTTCTAGAGATCTGAGTTCATAAATGTGAGCAGCATTTATTTTTTCAAAACACTCATTGTGACGGATGCGATTCGGTTTACCCAAGTGATACATTGCGCTCCAACAACTCCACTGCATGTTCATTCCCTAGACCCCCTTGGATGGAGAGGGCCAGGAACCAGGTAACAAAGTCATTCGTCCTCATTTTTCCTTGTTTGAAGGTACGGACTTGCTGACGCGCCCAGTCACGCTCAGCTTGGGGTTTGAAGTATTTTTTGATCTCGACTTTGAGATCATCCCAGGTAGGCCACACTCCCACTGTGTAGCACTCCTGCATTCTTACTTGGGCGTATCAACCCGCCACAGGTCCTTTCAGTCTTGACAGCACAGCCATTGCTATTTCAAAATCATCAGCAAACGCGTCCCAGTTCGCTTTGATCCAAATTTGGAGCTTGATCCACCATTCAGCAAATTGAGCCCTATCTCCTTCGAAAGTGCTGGGGTCAGCAACAATCTTGACTTTCTTGTTGAACTTACGCTCAACCGTAGGTTCCGCTGCTGGGGCAGCCTGAATCTGCGCACACATGTTGTGCAGCAGACTGTTCATATCCAGTTGCAACGACATGTTGACTTGTTCTCTTTGGTAATGTAAAAAAAAAGGCAACTGGGGGTCCCCGCTTGCTATCTGCGGATCAACCTCTTCCCAGCTGAGTATCAGATCTCAATCTCCGACTACCCACACTATAGTATTTGAAAAGTATATAAAAAGTATTTGTAATAAACCCTGGTCCGGACGGTTGTCAGGGGGTGGTCCGCTTGTTAAGCTATCAACCCTTCTCCAGACTGGCGGAGGCAAGTGCCCAGCCTAGTCAGAGGTATCCGAAGAAGAAGTTTTGTGTTCTAAGTTTAATCAACAATAGTGTGCACACTATTGTTGAGCTACAGTACTCCCCTTAATGCTGGGGGCCACGTATCAAAGGTATTGTTTCATCTCCCAAAGCACTACAAGACCGTCGCGAAGAGTGCACCTATCTGCTATGCGGGATATTCCCAAACAATAACCACCCTGGAGTCCGGGTGCCCAGTGGGACTTTTTGCACAACGTGCGAGAGAGTAGAAGAGCGAGTCCTAATGTAACAACCAAGAGTTAGTTACTCTGGCGCACACAGGAACACACTATAAAGGTGGTGATGAGGGAGTGGTTACCCCTTAAGCTACTTGCATATCTTTGTGCCTTGGCCACCAGGGCTTTGGACTGTTTGTATTATGCCCAGGCACCATTCTTCTGCGCTGTGCGGAAGATGTCATCCATCTCTTTGATGGTGCACTCCCTCCCCCCACGGGAATATGTCTAAGGGGAGGAAGGCATTGCTTGAGGACGGCCTTGGCGCCCAGCGAGCTTCATCTCCCACAGTCCCCGGCGTAGGACCATGTGTCCCTCGTCGAGGCGTTTGACAAACATGCCACCGCCAATGTGTAGGCCAGGGAGAGCACGCTGGAAGTACTTGTCCCATTTGTTGTCATCCTTGAGGACTTCAGCATAGTGGTCCCCAGGGGGAGCCTCTATGAAGTCCCAGGACTCACCCACCGGCACTGCCTTATTGTATTGTACAACGGCCCTACTTGAGTAGGGGTGGACTATCTCCTCCACCATGGGTTTGGGCTCAGCGCGAGCTTTGCCCTTTCCCTTGTGCAATGCCGTGCTAGGCGGTTGTTGTGGTGGGGCTGCTGGTGCTGCTAGTTGGGGCGGGGGCGGGCATCACCGTGGCCGCTAGTGCAGACCTCCAGCACGGCAATCTGGACCTCAAGTTCAAGGATACAGGCATTGGCTGCCTTTGCCTTTGCCTCCCCATCCTTGAGGGGGTGGGGGCCTCATCTAATATGTAATGGCAGTTGTCGTATTGGTCAAGGAGGTCCTCAAATTTGGAGGGCGGGTGTTGTCTCAACTCTGCAGCCCTCACAAAGTGAGCCATGCACTCCTCCCTTGCACGACAGTCGGATGGGCTACCAGAGTAGCCATCCTCGTCAAAGTGGTGTTGATAGCTGCTGCACTGTGTGTGCAGAAGTGGTCTGTTTGCTGCCTTTCTTTTTTCTTCCATTTTTACCTCATGAAATTTGACTAACATACATTATTATTCTAGCCATTGAAGGTGACAATCACACTACCCCAGGACTGTACTGGCATAACTCCAGTGATAAACCCAGGCCCTGTGGATTTTATGTACTGTGGCAAACACTTACACTCAGTACTCCGCCAAAATAAAGAGGTTCACACTAGCTTGTTACACACAAAATCAATAATCTTTACTAATATACTGCAAAAAAATGCTGCTGAACCTCCCTATCTCATTCTTGCCCCTTTGGTCCAACTTTAACCCTTACAATATGCAGTGCTGGGTTGAGGTCATGAACAAGATAGAGTGCTGGTTGCTGCTCAAAGTTGTTGATAGGCATTCCCTGGAGTGGAAGTGGGGCGGAGAGACTGTCTGGATGGTTTACGTCTTAGCATATCTGGAGTTTCCTTTTGGCCAATGGACTTGTTGGAGCCCAAAAATTTCCCCTGAAGGATATTTTTTGGAGGGCTGGGTAGCAAAGGGTGCTTTGCCTTCTTGGGATGATAGTAAAGGACTTAGCGAGGACACTGACTTTATATCAGTAAGGGGCGCAATCTGGGACAAATTCCAAGAAACTGTGTTCATGGTTTTTGCTGGCGGGGTGGTTTCTCCTGATAGCTCCTGATATGTAGATCCTTGTTCTCATGTTGTCCCCATGTCTTTGTTACAAGCAACTTGTTGTGATTGTTCAGACATATTTTGAATATACGGTGCCCTTGATTCTGATATTGTGCATGCAAGCTGAGATGTTCACTTTCTAATGGATAGAATTGCAAGGCATTTGAGAGACACAACAAACCCGACCATACCACAATCAAAGGTTGATTATATTGTACAGGTACATATTACACCCAAGTACCTCTGGTAGACTTTTTCTCCAATGCCACCATAGAGGACAAGGGGCCAAGCATCTCACTGAGCTTTTGCTTTATTATTCGGTTAACCCTGGAGGACACTTTTAACAACTGGGCATGTTGATGATATATGAGCGGAATCTTTCATCAAACATGACTAAGGGGTCACCCCAATTTAACGGTGTACACTTTGAGGTTATAGCGAGTTTGATAATGATATTAGTGGAAGTTATCTGAGAGGTTGGCATGGTGTGGCGTTATCGGAGATAAACAACACACAAGAATGAGAGCTCTCAGAGTGAACAGGAAATTCCTGGTACTGTAGGCTACCAGGTCTGCCTCTCAATAAATGCCACTGGATTTTGTGCCGGATCTTTGCCCCAAATACAAAGTGATCAATATTACCCACAATCTTCCTTTTTTTCCATGGTTCTCTGCATGCATCTATAGCTACTCTACTTCTTAGAGGGCAGAGTTTGGTGTTTTGGCTTTCCCTGTAATTTTGATTTTCTGCAGAGTGAACCACAATTTGGTAACCTCTTTTTTTTTTGTGCAATGTTATAATAAGACTAAGTGAAACTCAGCCACTGCCTGAGAGGCTATAGAAACAACTGAGGTATTCCTATATTACTTTCAACTTAAATCTTTTAAAGTGTGAATGTCATCCTGTGATTTTGATCCAAACTAGAATTGAGAGAGTCCCATTGATGCTAGCGAAGTGATAAGTGGGTGATCTATTTGAGATATTTGGCTTCAAGAAGAGCAACAGTTTTTGATGGAATGTTCCATCAAAAACAAGATAGGTGAATAAGTCTCCAAATGGTTGGCCATTTTCTCCGTGCCATGTGATTTGAAGTGGTGAAATGAGTTGTTTGGCTGAAGAGAGGTTATACTGATATTGATATGTTTTGTTAGCACAGATACCTGTTGTTTGTTTTTTGGGGTGAGGAGAACAAAATATGTCGAAGTCATCCACCAATTGCTGGGTGGACTCCAAGAGTATGTCAGATGTCAATAGTGGTATTGGCCACTTTGCCTTGTAGTCCTGAGCCTTAGATGAGATCAAAGAGACATTATGATTGATATGAAAAGAATTTTCTGAGCATACCATGAGAACTCATTTGTGGTCAGGGAGAACTAGAATTGTGCAGTTAGCTCCTCCAACATCCAAAGTGGCTAGTTGAGTGTCTAGATTTGAGTTTGTTATCTGGAGAGATGAGATAGAAGACAAGTGAGTGGAAGTTTTAATTTGATCAAAAGTTGGAGTGAGAGGACAATTTTTTGGGAGGGAGTGTGAGGTATGATCTGAGAGAGGGTGGAGAGAATGAGAAAAATAAGAGAAGAGGATTATTTTTGGGTAAAGGGGGAGAATAAGAGGAGGGAGAGAGGACCATGTGATTATGTTATGTTCCTCAGCAAGTCAAAATGGATAACAATATGGGGAGGGGAAGTCCTCATATGTCACAGAACAACAAGCAAGTTGCACATAATCATGAAGCAGGTAGAGCGAGAGATTAGAATAGAAATGAACTTATGCACTTCAGGCAGCCAAAAAATTGGGGCTCTTAGCTTGATCATCCTCACCAAAAGGTTGGGGCTAAGATCCCCCTTTTCATGGTCTACCTATAGTCATTAGGGACCAGACCTATTTGACATGGGACAGTCCCATCTATTTACATAGGTCCTGTCCCTATACATAGGAATATGCCTTTATATGGTGTGTTATCTGTAATCACTTATTTTATTTTCTCATAATCTTATCCCAAAAACACACCTACTCTATTATCTTTACATTTTGTAATTCTCATTAGCACACATAATCTAATAATATTTTGTCCCACCATCTTTCTGTGAAAGCTGTGGGAAATAGTTGATGAAAGCAAGATTAGTCTAGCAGGTGATACTGCCTTAACAAACTGGACAAATGCAACATGAAAAAATCTACTTATATCTGGTTTCTAGTAGATCTTGAATAACTTGAATTTCATTGACAATAAGAAATTAGGCCATATAACTATGTCTTATCTAAAGGCAGAATATGGTAAACTACCTAAATAATTTTTCAACAAGTTTTTGACATTTAGTCTTGTTACTTGATGAATACATAAACATAATTCATCTATATTGTCTTGTTTGTTTCTCTCTACTTGTTAACTCATCAGTTGAAATCCAACACTATTTTAAATTTTATCCCAAGTGAAAAAAGAGCTTATACCATACCATGTATTAAATTATATATTCTCCCACATGTATAAAGGTCTCATTTTATATGCACTTGGACATTGTCCCACATGTATAGAGTAATGTCTTATCCCATATCACTGTGGGGATCAACTTATATAAGCCCAGCTTATATGCTGAAAATATTCAATTTTAGCTTTTTTCAGCCAATCAAAACGCAGATATCCAATATCTTCAGCATATAAGCTGAGCTCATATAAGTCAATCCCCACAGTGTATGTACTTAAGTCCCATCTTATATATGTTTAGGTCTAGAATAAAGCCTTATGAGGTGATATGTTTGAGGTACTAATTATGAGACCATGTTACCTAGGCAGAGTTCATATTGTTAGGGGGGACTATGGAGGGCACCATTGAGTAGTTAGAATATCATATCTCCAATTGGGGAGAACCATAGAAAAATCCTATGTGGCTTTGGAAGATCTGAATATGCTCAGCAAAAGTTATACAACCATACAGCCACATAAAATCAAAATTTCATTAATTATCCCTTTCCCAAGATTTTCAAGTCAACTAAGCATATAAGTGACAAATAAGAGAGTTATTTATTGCATATATTAGTGTTTTAGTATCAAATTAGTCTAATATATACTAATATCTGGGATGTGACCTACATAACTACCCCATATACACAGCTAAATCCACTTGGAATAACTTCAATAAGCCTAACTTGAAATGGCCTGTCCCATATTAGATTTTAGCATGTGACCTCTAAGTGTCACCTGACCACAGGGAGTGCATGAAAGCAAAGTGGACCAGGTGGGGATTGAGCCCAGGACCTCTACCTATATATAGTGGTGCTCTACCAACTGAGCTACCAGCCTTTGTCCAATACCAACTCAGAATGTATGTTGTCTAACAAGGCTAATAGGATTTGACCTTGACTATTCTAATATCCCAACCTTTACTTGTCAGCTTTGATCATCTAGTAAAGTCCAATGGCTTAGCACTTGGGAGCTAATAGACTAATAGTGAGTGAAGGATGAGGATTTTAGCAATGACAAAGACACTGGTGGAGAACAAATAGAAAGAACTTATCTGAGTGAGAACATTTTGCAGATGACTAATAGTTTCATCAACCTGACTGGCAAGAGAAGTAGCATAAGCAAAAAAAGTGCTGTCCTAGTTTGAAATTAGTGATAAGTTACAGCTGATTTGGAAAATGTTGGCTGCACCAACTTTGTCTCTTGCGTCTGTTCTAGCTTAGTAATATGATCTGAATTCCAAAAAAGGAAATAAGGTGGAATCTCTAGTATGTACTATAGCATGCTGCAGCCTGCAGTCTAGCATGTTCCTTATAGTATAAAGTCTCTACTCTTTGCTAATGAGAATCTCGTCACATTGTTAGGTGCTGCCACTGCCACTCTTTAGAAATGATTCCTTACACTCAAGAACAAAGCTCCCTGCTGCCGCCATGTCATGATCTTGCTCCAAGGTTGTAAATGCCGTTTTACCCTTCTGGTTTTATGAATCATAGACTTACAAGCTAGTAATAGTGATCCTAACACCATCCCTCCCATCTCTATCCTCCAAGATATGCCCAACAGTGAGGATAGCCTGGATGAGGCCGGTATTCAAGTCATCTACCCACCATATCCGCTGGTGCATAGGCCACCAATCAAACCCACTGTTCTGCCAATCAAACTGGCCATTCTCATCCCTCTACCCCCTACTCCTGCTCCAGCCCCTGTCCATTGCACAGGCCACTCATATTGAAGGCGAGGACGAGTATGATTAGGAAGTTGAGGGTGGACTGACTACGGAAAAGGTGATTATAGTCTGGTGTACTAGTTTAGCATACTCATTACTGTTACGATCTCTATTGGACATTTAAAGACTACTCATTTCTTTTTACTCATCAGTTATACCATCGGACAGATGACTCATTTCCTTCACGTACACTTCCGTTCCTCTCGCATTTGCAGTACCTATTATAGTACTTAGTCCTCAATGGACAGACCTGCCCTAGATAGGACCTAACTCCTATCACTGATTCCTTTCCATTATAAATACCATGTAACAGCAGTAGTATTCTCTAATATGATTCTACGCAGTTTACGCTTACAAAGCTACTTCTAAGATCAGACTTCTACTCAGAAGAAGACCAACTCTCGTTGGAAGAACTCCACTCAGAACTACATTCTCGAACTTGTTTTCGGATAAGTCTCTTTACAAACCTCGACGAACCCTCAGACTTTGTTAAGCACTTTGTGCGTAACAATCACAATGTTTTAGTGGAAGCTAGACGGCAAACTAGAGGATTTAGCTAGTAAAATACTGAACAAATAAAAGCCTGGCTTGTGTATTATGCATAAGAGCATCATCGCATGTTTCCACCACCGGGCCAGTGACCTACATTTTGAACTGACACACCCCCACTGTATGGTTTGGGCTGCTGCTATATTGAAAGGTGATGCTACACTTGAAAAAATCCCTACTGGATCACTGTTGTTCAAAGCAAAACAAGTGTTGAAGGTACATACTAATAAAACTAAGTGAAACTCAGCCGCTGCCCGAGAGGCTATAGAAACGACTTTATTATTTACCTCAGTGAAACTACAATAGATGTTAGTTTAAGGTGATCTCTAATAAATGTAATGTAACATACCTCAGCCGCTGCCCAAGAGGCTATAGAAACGACTAAGGTATTCTTATACTAAACCCCCTACTATCTATAGTCGGAGGTGCTACTCGCTACAGTATGATGACTCCTAGGAGTACAATGGTTACTCCATGGAGTGGTGGCTATGCTCCATGGAGAACAATGGCTGCTTCGGCAGAGACCGGGTTTATCCGGTTTTGTCACATACTTTGACAGAAAAGAGGCCCCCCAGATCTCCTGCTGCAAAAACCACCATCGCACCACTCCCATCCTCAATCCATCTGCTAATCCTCTTGCATTCTCTCCATTTGTTGGTTACAACCCTCTAACCGCTTTTCCAATGGGATTTGGTATGCCAATGGGTGGAATGTGTGTGGGAATGAGTGTGGGAATGGGTGGGGGAATGTACATTAGTCCAGGAATGAGTATGGGCATGGGTATGCATGGTGTAGAGTCGCATTTTGTCAGATCCAGCCCACAAAAAGAAGAAATTGAAGAAACAAACCATTTGTCATCCCCGCTAATCGAATCTTGCAGCCTCTTATTGTTTTGTGAGCTGTATAAGCTTGGTGAAGATATCAAAAGTAGCTTGGATTGGTTGGGTTTCATGGTGGGAGACAATCTGGAGGCTGTTACAGAACAACAGCATAGGGAAGCAGGATTCAACCTCTCGCATGGGCTCGTGTTTTGAAAGCCTACCATAGATATAAGAAAGATCACCATATTTAGTCTTACATACACTCATTTACACCCGTAATCGGACAATACAACATTGTTTTGTGCATTTTTACACAAAAAATGGCCAACATACACTAAAATACAGTTTCTACATTATATCCTGAGTGCGTAAACCACTCTTGAGCCTTGTCAGCTGTCACAGTATGTGCAGTGTCAAGCAAAGCAACTTCGGGATACTCGTGTTCTTGAATGCGAACATAGTTACAGCGGATCCAGCTTTTGACTAAAAAAAACCAAGTGTTAGCCTAAAGCGCAAGCTAAAAAGAGAAAATTGTACCACAACTAAAGCTCTCTTCAATTGGATTCAAGTCTGGGGAGTATGGCAGCAAAAAGATCAACACACCCTACACTTTCTACAACTTCACGGACAGCGTTCATTTTGTGTATTGCACAGTTGTCGAGTATAATGATGCTTTTATCTTGAGGATACGGGTTTATCACAGGCAGCTGTAACATGTTAGAATGATGAGCATAAATATAAACAAAAAAAATGTACCACATCATTTACAATAAAATCAAAAAAATCCTCACTATTGACAGAACCGTGGACTACATTCATGGCCAGATATATGTTGAGTGTGAGTGCTGCTACTAAGCTGTAGTGTTCTCCCCAAACAAAATTAGCCTGAACCGCAGCACAACGACCTTTGGGCGCCCGTCTGTAGTGTTGATAAATTGTCCGGTCATCCTTGCTGGTTTTGTCAATCATAGCAAACTGGCTGGCTGTAAAGTGTGTATTGATGTCCTTCAACCACTCCTCCCTCCAATTGTTATCCCTTTCTGCTGCTACTTTTTGTAGAACCTTATAAGTTAGCCCTGCATCTCTAATATGTTCGAAAAGAGCGGTCTTCAATATGTGCACATCATGTGCAAGGTGTTACGATCTCTATTGGACATTTAAGGACTACTCATTTCTTTTTACTCATCGGTTATACCATCGGACCAATGACTCATTTCCTTCACGTACATTTTCATTCCTCTCGCATTCACAGTACCTATTATAGCACTTAGTCCTCAACAGACAGACCTGCCCTAGATAGGACCTAACTCCTATCACCAATTCCTTTCCCTTATAAATACCATGTAACAGCAGTAGTATTCTCTAATACAATTCTACACAGTTTACACTTACAAAGCTAGACTCCTAAGATCAGACTTCTATTCAGAAGAAGACCAACTCCTGTTGGAAGACCTCCACTCAGAACTATGTTCTCGAACTTGTCTTCGGATAAGTCTCTTTACAAACCTCGACGAACCCTCAGACTTTGTTAAGCACTTTGTGCGTAACACAAGGGCTAACCAGTCTTGAATTTTGTCCAGGTATATCTCTGGGGTGTCTTCAAGCAGCGAATATATCCTCTTGGCTTGGTTTGCACCAAGGATAAGAGGTGCTACAGAGCCAAATGCTTCTTGACTGGCCTGCCAGCGGCAAAGGGAACGCTCAAAGATGCCAAAAATGTTGCAGACGTTGGATGGGATGTAGTTATGCTCTATTAACCAAAGAGTGCGCTCCTTGATATCCTTGCTGATCTGTCTGTAGGGTATGGTAGTCAATAGCAAAGTGTTATCGATGGGTTACATGTTTGCAGCTGCTGGGATTCCATGTTGTTTCTATTTTTGGAATTTAGATCATATTACTAAGCTAGAACAGACACGAGAGAAAAAGCTGGCGCAGCCAATGTTTTCCAAATCAGCTATAATATTAAACTGAAACTGTGGTTTTTATAAATTTTATAAACCAGATTAGGGCTTAACTAATAATAACTAATTAAAACCTATCTATAACCAAACTGTGGCAACACTATAAACAATACCCTGGAGCCAACAATAGTACAAAATTCACCGTCTTAAGAAACCTATCATTTTAAATGTATACATACCAAGAAATATACACCAAAACCATAGCATTTGGATCCTCAAAGAACAAGTCCACAATTACAGAAGTTGAGGATTTTGCTACCAAAATACATTTGCTAAATGTTGGTGACCCTATCCATTCAGTGTGTTATATTTGTCTTATATGCTTTGTACTTATAGCTATATAAGTGTAGCTCCTACTTTTATCTCAACATCACTGTAGCAATATTTTCAAACAAAATTTTCCACTGACAACCCAGGAATATCCTTACAAAACCCAGTCAAACTTACCTAACTGCCACTTCTAAAATTCTTCCAGCTATTACATTTGGGACTATAGTGTAATCTGGGAATGTATTTATATATATATAATCATCTGAGAAAGACAATATCTTCAAATAACTAATAGAATAGCTATTCCTATTCCTTTGAATTCTAGAGGACCTGAAACCTCATTTGATAAACAATTCACAGGACCACTCAACAATATATCTGCAGCTAAGCCAACAACTCCTTAAAACGCTAGGTCTGCCCAAACCTGACAACATCAATATTTATTTTTCAATATTGTTGACAATAAGCTACTATGGTCACTGTACAAGATAAGCTAGATAAAGATCAGAGTGCAACTACACTAGCTACAATAAAATTAAATGCAAATGCACCCAGTCCAAGAAAGAAATGACAAAAGACTAAATGGCAGCTTAACTAGAAAAGACCTATATGCTACTAAAACCAACACGCTTGATTTCATCTCCACAGATATTCTCAGTCATAATAAACTCACACTGATGTTTATATATGAATTCAAGGTAGCAAGGCCAGATGTATAAAAAACATGTTTATAAAAAATTACTGAACATAGTGGTCTATAGTGTCACCATTGTGTATTAGCTTGTGGAAGGAATTGGTTGACAACTACAATACCCAACGAAATCTCTTATCAACACCTAGAGCATAAGTCAATGCTATTATGCTATTATGCTCCTCTACTTCCACTAAAAGTGGAGCACACTACATCTTTATAGAAGTCATAAGTCAACCTCAATGTAATTCATCAGGAACTCCACTTCTTGGACAAACAATCAGAAATTTTCATCATATATGGGGATCTCCAGAACAAAATGATTGCACCCAGTAACCAACAAATAGGTATGAGAATGCAGATAGCTAGAAGACCTCCTCAACTTATGGTTGGATGTTTAAAAATGCTCAGAATTGATATTGAAGGAATCAAGGCTTAAATCCCTGTTATGCCAGAAGCTGTTTATTGCCTTCTTCTGAAATAATATTGGCAACAATTGTTACAACTTGCAAGAACTGAAACAGACAACATAGTCCCTGTAATAATACTGTAGACCTTCAACAATGCCAGGACCCACATCTGTACAATGTTACATCATCTTTAGTGCCACACTCAAAAGTTATCCACTATTACTGCTGCCCTTATCACTGACAGGCCTTGGAATGAAATATCAAGCTCCCAAGTAATGCCTAGGTCTCATCCCATATGTGCGTAGGTCTTGTCCCATATGCACCTTGGTCTTGTCCCATATACACCTAGGTCCCATCCCATATACATCTAGGTCTCATCCCATATATGCCTAAATCTTATCCCACATACACTAGGGCTCATCCCATATCTGATTAGGTCCTGTCCCATATGCACCTAGGTTAAAACAATTCTCTCAAGAAAGTATTTCATAATTGCATCAAAAGTTACTTATTGCTCTATTAGCTTTAAAATATGCAAATGCTTATTTTATTCTGTGTTTTGCTATGCTGTACCACTGCATAGTTCCTATTTTGGCTAGATACATATTTCCATTATTCTCCATACTCAAATCTCTCCTGTATTACTTATTATTATCCCACACAATCCACATAGTGCACACCTGTGGGAATTATTATGTAACCTGCAAATTAAATAGCTGGCATTTGTGGTCTTATCCCATTAGATGTCTGGCACCAGGTGAAATATGATATTTGAAGGGACCATCCCTATGTGTATAGGGACAGGACCTATGTAAATAGATGAGACTGTCCCATGTCAAATAGGTCTGGTCCCTAATGGCTATAGGTAGACCATGAAAAGGGGTATTTTAGCCCCAACCTTTTGGTGAGGATGATCAAGCTAAAAGCCCCAATTTTTTGGCTGCCTGAAGTGACTTATAACTTATGCTACTTCAGGTACCATACACCACCAAGTAGGAAAATTGACTGGATTAATTGAGCTGTTTATTGATTTTTTGAGTGTGCCTTTGAAGGATAGGTGGAGACATACTCAATATTTTGGTGCGTCTCCTGGAGCACCATCCTTGGTGGCTACTTGAAAGGGACAGTATTGGAATAGGCCAATTTTCTGTTCAAAAGTGGGTTGGGAGAAAGGACCAGAGAAGTGTGCCAAGAGGAGTTCCTCCGTGATATAATCTCAAATAGTATCAATATGAAGGAAGTGTTAGAATATACTCTGACGTACCAATACTCCATAGGATAATACCTCTGATTTGTAAGCCAGCCCAACATGCAGCAGCTATACTGTGTAAGACGTCCATGGTTACACATCAAGTTTAAGGTCCTACATTGTATAACCTTGGTCATATAGCTCAATTGGTAGAGCAGCTGGCATGTATCCAGGTTCAATCCCTAGTCTGGTCAATATCCAATTTTATTAGGAAGGCCCCAGGTAGGTTATCCGGAGCATAAGTTGTGACAATGGGATCTATTGGACCAATAGGGAAACAATGTTGTAATTTAAAAGAAAGTTCGGGATAAGAGTCAAAGAGATTGAATTTTTTGAGGAATATGGGGTATATATTTTGTGGAGGTCTGGGTCTTTATCATAATGAGTGGGGGAAATATTGAGATTGCTATAATATACATGATGTGTATCTGTTCAATATATAATCTTACATCACACTATATTTGGTACTATCTTCAAGGTTGTGCACTTAGCTCAGCAGACATTATCTCTTGAGAAAGTTTCAGTCCTAGCTGCAGCTATCCTAGTTTACGAATTGGTCATGTCTAGATGAGAGTTGCTGTATTACAAGATAGACAGATGAGAATCTAGCTTATGTTATTTTAATGAGTATCTTTTTCTTTTTCTTTTCATTTATCATTTATATGTTCAACTTCCATTTTTATAGTCTTAAACCCTGCTGTTAAATATAGCTGGATACCTGAGAAATGGGGGATAGAGTATATGGAACCAGCATAGGCTCATATTGTGAACTGTATGGGTAGTTTTATCCTATTTAGGTTGACCTTTACTGAAACAAATGTTTCTAGTTACAAAAATATCACCGTACTATATCTACTCCTAGTACACAGCCTAACTAGCCATAAACACAGCAATTTCAAACATCTCAACTATATGGATCTACAAACTGTCAAGCTGTCGACATCATTTGTTCTTTGACTGAGGAGTACAGATTATTAGACATGGGCTTAGCTAATGTTTCCCCTGAATTGAGATCAATTAAGGAGGAGCATAATGCCTAACTGGCATTACCTAGAGAAATATACAATATTGTTGAGTGGTGGGAGGTAAGGATAATTCATACTTTATCTGTTTGATTCTAATTTCTTGCATCTGTATATCAGATGAATTCCCACAGATTCCCCACATTATTTTCTATGGCATTGGACTACCTCCCAATTCAAGGAACCTCAGTCCCTTGTGAGTGGGTTTTTCCTTCAGCTGTTTTGACTGCCACACCAAGAAGAAATCACCTCAGTGCTGACATTATGGAAGCTTTACAAATGCTCAAAGTGTAACAACCAAGAGTTAGTTACTCTGGCGCACACAAGAACACACTATAAGGAAGATGTAGAGGGAGTGGTTACCCCTTAAGCTGCAGAGAGTTTGTTGGTATACAACAGGAGGACTCGCTGAGGAGTCTCCTGGATCTATTGGGGTATATATACTACTACAGGTTGTTTGTACATGTGTACTATACAGTTGATGAAGGCAGTGGCTGATGATGTCATAGGGCCTAGCCCGTATGGCCAGCTCCACTGTGTGAGAGAGTTAAGTCTAAAAGTAAAAGAAAGGCAACGCGGCGCGAGAAAGGGAAATGCCGCGTGGCACTTAAAGTATAAAGTTAAAGCGGAGAATAAAAAGGAAAGGAGATGTCCGGAAATTGTGTTATCGTAACACAAAGTCTCTGCATGCCATGATGAATCTAACTTATTGTCATTTTGGAATACTCCAGAGGAAATATTATTACCTGAGTTAGAAGATATAACTGCTTCCGTACATTCTACTCTGAAAACATGAATTGGGGTGTTTATGATTTACATTTGGTGGCTTGCTGTGAATGTACTATGCCTTTTTTTTTCTTCATTTTAGGTCTAGGCTGTATTCAAAAATTCATACTTTTGTGGTTACTGAGGTCCTCTTTTGCATATCATGTTTTCCCAGGCAGCTAAATATAGTAAAAGGCTTTTGTTCTTTCAAACTCCAACTTTAAGTCCAACTAATTCTTCCTCAACTTTTGTTCTGCCTTATTTCTGTGTATATCTTGGTGTATATAGGCTCCCTTTTTCCTCAGGATGACTGCCTCAAAGGACAAACTTGATCTGTCCATGATTATCAATTATCAGTACTGTTTGGAGGAGCATATTGCCACAGGATCTTTTGGTAAATATTTACATATTCTATAAACTTGTTTTTAATCATACCAATATCATAAAAGAGAGGTTTGGTGTGGCTTTGATATGCTCAATCACGAGGATTTTGCTATTAAGCTAGAAGCTGGTGATATCTTATTAACCCATCTTTAAACAAAGGTGCAGATATACAGTATGAACGACTTGGAGGTTACATAGGATTCCCCAAGTTATATTGGTATGGATTTTGTGAAGACAACAGTGTAATGGTCATGGATTTATTGGGAGCTTCACTGGAACAATTTTTTAATCTATGTGGCCATAAGTTTAGCCTTAAGACAGTGCTAATATTGCTTGATCAAATGGCAAGTATTTTTTATTACTACAAGAATGTAGCTGACATCTACTCAGACCTCATGGATTCAAACTCTTTATTCCTATCATCTTTTTCACCATGATCCAAAGCCAGAAAAATTTCTTCTTGGTGTCAATAGAAGTGCTGATATCCTGCATTTTGTTGATCTTAACTTAAGCACGGAAAACATACACCCAATCACTGGTGAACATATTCCCTACAAAGATGGCCAGAAGTTGCTTGGTACTATTTGCTATTTATCATGCAATGCTCACATAGCATGGGCATCCAACAATCCCGGCACAATGACTTGGAAGCAATTGTCTATATTATAACTTACTTTCTCTGTGAATCTCTTCTGTGGCAGGGAATCAAGGGCAGCAAAGAGAAAAAGTACAGACTTATTAAGAAGAAGAAACTTCACACTACACCTGCTGCACTATGTCATGGTCTTCCCAAAGAATTTCATGACTTTCTCTTGTATACCTGTTCACTTGCCTACAATCAGGATCCTGACTATCGTTATATTCATAATCTATTTTGCAACCTTACAGCACGTCATAGCTTCCTGTACAACTATTCCCATGACTGGATCAGAAAAAACTAACATCATCATATCTACCAACTTGCAAAGTTCATCTATATAACAACTAACAGTTTTGGGTGAAGAGTATTACTCAGAAGTTGGGGGTAAAGGGATTTGAAGGTGTGGTATTCAAAATGCTATCACATAAGGATATTACCTCACTTTTTTCTGTTTTTATTTATAGTACAACAAGTTATATTTTTTTCTTTTTTACTACAAACTTCTGAAGTCATTTTTTTGACATATTAATAGCCACAGCTTAATTTAAAAAAGTTGCAGCCTACTTAAAGCCACAGCACTGACAAAATGTGACTTATTGAGCAGCAGCTTGGTGAAGCCAGCTGCAGCAATACTACTCCACTATCACCTCCTTCTATGGTAGCGGGGCAACCCCAACCCTCCGGAATTGCGTGATAATATGAATACTGATGCCACCAAGACCGCATGATTAATTGGCTAGAGTCCATCATAAAAAGCAAGCTGCCTAGTATGATTGATGTGCTGACTAAGAACCCTAGGGATCATCTTACTAGATGTCTTTGCCCTTCAGATTTACAAAACCCTTGTGTTTGCAGTGCACCTTGTAACCTCAAAGATGACAAAGAGTCTGAGAACAAATTCCAATTGTTTGTGAAAGAGCTCGCCATCACCTGCAAATGGCATGAGCACACTGATATGAGCTGGAAGCACCTCAAGGCAGGGGAACCGCGTGACAACTCACATTGTAGAATATGTATTGATGGTTCTACTCATTCCCTCTCAGAAATAGACCCAACCACTCAATCAATGCTATTTTCACCCTTGCATTAACAATTTCAACAATGTTGTCATATTTTTGATGCATTGCAATGTGGACGTAAAATACATAGGTTCTGATCAAGCCATGAAAGCTCTTGTTTATTCTATTTCACACTACATTACCATGTGTTCCTTGCCCGTCTACGTTGGATTTGATGCCCTGAGATATGCAATAAAACAGAATGGGACTAAATATTAAGGATTGAGCAAATACAATATTATGGAACACACCAAAGTCTCTTCACCAAAGCAGTGAATGTGATTATGGCTCGTTAAGAGTTGTGTCATCAGTAAGCCATGAGTTATTTGGTTGGTGGTGGTGACTGCTACAAAAGCCACAATTTTAAGTTGCTACGTTGGAGTGATGTAGACCGCTACATACAAAGTCAAGAATTTTGAAGTCCCCACAATCCCGCTTTGTCAGATTCTGGCCATTGTGTTGAAGGGGACAATGATATTCACACATCTAACAACAAAGAATCTGCAAGCAAAAGTGAATTTGAAGTGCCTGAATCTTCCATGCAGGATGTACTTATCTCCTTTGATGGTCAAAATTTTGCCGTGAACATGGACATTGAAGATTATTGCTATCACAGTCATGGCTATTCCTTTGGAAATTTGTTATTCTAAGTATATACTGAGTTGGCACAGAAGATGCCTTTAAGCCAAGAAAATGCTCGCCTTGCAAAGCTTGATGAAAATGTGAATATGTGTGAACAGACATCTACTCAGGGAAAAAAACCCAAGGCTCGTGGTCATTTTATGCATCCACGTGCTGATGTCAATTATAACCTTTGGTGTTACAATATGTTGATATTGTTTAAGAAGCCATGGTGCTCTATTACTGATCTAAAAAACCTTCAAGAAACATGGAGTGCGGCTTTTGACCACTATGTGTTCCCTTCAAATTTGCGTGGTACATCAAAAACATGGACGTTGAACATGAATGCAAAAACACACACAACCTTTATGAGCATCAGCGTTAAAGTGATCATGGGAATCTCCCCAACCTCTCAACCACTTTTCACGCTTCAAAAGTGCAGGACAACATTGCTGGTGAGTGTACTGGTCAATTGAATGTGTCTGATGTGATAAACATGCCTATTAACCCTTTTTATGCATTAGAGACTGTGCCTTTGTCAAATAACCAGAATGACAAAGTAAACAAAGTAGTGAGTTCCTTACTCCGAGCAGAAATGTTCAATAACAACACACAACACACGTCCACTGTGCTATATACACCACCTTCTGTGGCTACAGATGAAAATATGACAAAAATTTGTTTGGCAAGTGTGCTAATGAAAAAAATGAGGAAAATGAAATGTTATTGACCTTCAGAGAATGTACTAAGTCATGAAAAAGTTGCACGCAAGTGTCAAAGAGTAGACATTGCACACTCTGCTCCACACTGGTGATTTTGTAGATGTTAAGCTTTCCATTGCACTCTGTTCATGCTCCTCTCAAAATGGAACATGTCCTGCAACTCGCTCCTGTCAATCAATTGTGCACTGTGGGTATCAAATTCCTTCCACCACTTTTTTCCCAACTCATTTTTCCATTCATATCTTATCATCATTGGGCATTCCAATGCCATAAAAGCCCCAAAACCCTTGGCTTATGTGTCATCATTGCTTTCAAAGCCACAATTAGTATTTGAAAATGATGAATAAATGTGAAATATTTTACATTTAGTTTTGCAGCATATGTATAGTTTCTCTAGAAACTCTGACTGACATCTTTTCGCTCAGCATTGCAGAAAAAAAATATTATTTGTTTCACCTTGCAATTGCAATAAAACAAGTGACTCAGGCTTGACCACTACTCCATTTTTTTGTGGCTGGTTCACTGCCGACATCTCCTAAATCTCTAAAGGTTCACCCTATGATTGAAACTTTTTCATTGCAACAACATTTTCTGTGGCCTTCTTTTCTTTGAGCTCTTTATAAGACTTTTCCCCTTAGAATGTGCTTCAAATTCAAGTTCTTTCTGATCAGATCCCCACAATGTGAATTCATTCAAACCTTCTTCACACCAAAAACTTGCTCCACTGCCCCTTGCCCTCACATCTGATACAATTTGCGCCCAAACAAAAACCACTACATACATATTTACACATCTTTGCCAACATTGCAATCATTAAAACTAAACAATGGAGATTTTTACTAGCATTGCACTACCCACCTACCATTCTACAAAAATGCCTGCAACTAAGTGTAATGCTCCTGCATTTTCTCCCTCTCCCCATTTCACTTCTTTGAAGAAACCCAGAATTTCCTGAAGTCAATCTTACCTGCTAATGGGTGTGTTTTCTGAGACTGATCCTTCAAAACCGTCCCAAACTCTTGCTTGACACACTGAAGCATCTGACCAGACCACTGTAATGTAGGTCCTTTTCGCTTTCACCCAGGATATCTTTACCACTGCCCACAGTTATTTTCAAGACAAAAATCACTTGATTAGTGACAAAATACAAAAACTAACATCTAATTTGCTACCAGACAGGTATGTTCTTGCTCAGGTTTGCACCAACATCTATAATAACCATTACACAGTGATTCACATTCCAAAAATCAAAGCAATAATAACAAGGTGCAATTTGCTGTTGGTTGAATGGCACATTCTTAACAACAATCTGATTCAATATAACACCTTCTCAACCTCTGCTGCACCAACTTTAATGATCATATCAGGCAAATCCATGTCTTTTCTAATTACAATAATCATGCATTTTATATTTACAACTTCAACGACCTGCCCCTCAAATATAATTAGGGTGTGAAAACACACAAGAAGGACTTGTTGTACTATCTGTGAGACATCATAACAACTGCACCTTTCACATTTTGGATCATTGGAAGACTCAGAAAAATCTGGTTGTTCAAACGGGGTGTTAATGGTACCCCTCACCCCAAATCAATCTGGCCATTGACCTTTTTAGCATTTTGGCTGCTGCAAACTGTAAGTGCTATTGGGAAAACTTCACAAACCTACACAAGGTACAACTTGTTCCTTCTCTCCTGGTCATAACTGAACCTTTGTATAACATATATATCTGCGAGTGAATGGCACAACATCATGGCCTGGTGATTTTAAACTCCTTTCAACAAGAGCGGCACCCCACAAAGAGTGAGCCCCATACACTAACTTACTTACAGGCCCAGCTCTTCACTGAAATATACGATGCTTGCAAAAATTTCATGGCCAGATGCAACATAGATGCATTCCAGCCTCACTAATTGAAAATCAATGATATAGCTCTCATAGAATCCATGTAAAATGGTGCAAACGCAAAAAATCTATGGCAAATTGGGAGAGTTAGAATGTACTACTGGAATTGCAAGAAGTATCCATTGTGCACTCCACCTTTCCCAATTTCAGCATTTAACAACTCTTCTGAGCTTTGGTCCTGGCTGTAGGAACAAAAGAATATCTAGAGATGAAGCAAATTGATGTAGTGTATAGCTTACCCACTTATTTTCCTGTAGGGATCAGACGTGCAAAAGCACATTTAATCACAACCATAACAAAGCCACAGAACAAGTTTGTTCCATGGCTAAGAGAAACAAAAAAGAGCAATTAGCCCCACAAAAGAGAAGGACAGAGATAAAGTTTGCACAGCAGATGACTGCTATACAAATAATGGAGGAAGAGAACCCAATGCAAGAAGTAAAGGGGCAGACTCCTGGACAGGAGTTGTTGGAGGACCAAAGAACCCAACTAAGGGAAAAATGGTTCTCACAATGTAAGAACATACTGGGAGGAGTTCCACCCAGGATGCCCCCATTTAGGGAAGTGAATCACAAAATACCACTTATCAATCCCAATAAGAAGTATGTGGCACATTTACCAAGATGCTCAGATGCTATGAAGCCCCAGCTCATAGCAAAAATAGAAAAGTATACCACTGCAGGGTGGTGGGAAATGACCAGTGTACCGCAGGCATCCCCAATGTTGTGCATTCCCAAAAAGAATAGCACATTGAGAACAGTCATAGATTGCAGGAGACAAAATAATAATACTCAGAAGGATATTACCCCATTCCCTGATCAGGGTCAGATTAGAATGCATGTCTCCAGAGCAAAGTACCACTCAAAAATTGACATGCCTAATGCGTACAAACAAGTACAAATTAAACTGGAAGATGTCTGGAAGACAGCCTTTTCCACGGTATATGGGACTTTTATCAGTCATGTAATGCAACAAGGCAATTGAAACGCCCCTGCAACGTTCCAACGCCTAATGGCAGTAATATTCCAAAAATACATCGGAATATTTCTGCACATACTTCTCGATGATATGTTCCTCACAAACAATACCTGACATTGGTGTTTGAGAAATTAAGAGAAGCACAACCCTTTCTAGAGAAAGAGAAGTGCGATCTTTATTCCACAAGCTTGGACTGCCTTGGTTATATGGTCGATGACAGGGGCCTTCATGCTGACACAGATAAGATGTCTAAGATCAGGAATTGGAGGACAGTGTGCAATCTGCACAATATCCAAAAATTCCTGGGCTTGACAGAGTATCTGGTGCACTTCATGCCTGATGTGTCGGCCTATACTGGCCCCATTTCAGGGATGATGAGGAATGGGCACCTGTTCCACTGGAGACCTTTACATGAGCAATGTTTCAAACACATTAAGGTTATGGCATATAAATACCCTATTCTTAAGGCAGTAGACCCGAGCATGGGAAAACCCATATGGGTGATCTGCAACACCTCAGTATCAGGGGTAGGCTGGCAGGCTTCATGTCAAAGAAGTTGACTGATGCTCAGCATCATTACCATGTCTTCAAGTTAGAGACTTTGGCAATACTTGAAGCCCTCCTCAAATGGGAAGAGAAGCTACTCGGGTATAAAATAAAAATGGTGACAGATCACCAAGCCTTGAAGTTTTTTCAAAACCCAAAGAAATCTATTGAGTTGTCAGACTCAATGGATAGAATGTCTCATTTGGTTTGATTTTGAGATTATTTATGTCCCTGGGGACACAAATAGGGTGGCAGACTGCTTATCACACTACTTCAAAAATGATAATGCAGAGGACAGCTACCCTTGGTAGGACTACGTCAATGCAGATACACAACTAGACCCTCAGGGAGATGACCTGCCCATAGACAGGTTATTAGAATTGTGAGCCATTTGTACCATTAGGAATGAAAGGGAACACAAGGGACAGAAAGTGTCAGATAGACACAAAGACAGGAAACAGCAAGCTCGAGAGCTTGCTGTAACATCAAAAAAAGGTCCAGGAGCCCCTTATATCAATCAATAGATGAAGAGAACAATCCTACAATAATGGAGTTCTCAGGGGGTCCAAAATTGCAGGATTTCAGAGAGAAAACTGATTTGTTTCAACAGAAGATCAAGAATAGCTATAGCACTTATGTTGTCCTAACGAAGATAGTTTAATCTATCAAACAACATCCTCTGCCATCAAGTTGAAGGAGGGGCTGCTGTTCATAAAAAACCGGAATGGACAGGAAGCACTCTGCATTCCGAGGAGGATCACAAAAGACAAGGGTCTGACAGGATCTATCATGGACCAAGCACATGAGGTGCTTGGCCATTTTGGACCAAACAAAACAGCAAACTATATACATTGCTGGTATTGGTAGCCCAAAATGGGGATACAAATTGACAAATTCTTTAAAACATGCGGAACCTGTCAGATCACAAAGAGCAGTACGCAAAGACCTATGGGTCTCCTGTATAGTCTGCCAACCCCATGGAGATCATGGGGGTCAATAGGAATGGACTTTGTAGGCCCATTTCTAGTATCAAGGGAACATAACTACCTATTGATAAAATTGGATAATGACCAGACCAGGGATTGAACCTGGAACCTTCTGGAAACATGCCAGCTGCTCTACCAATTGAGCTATATGGCCAAGGTTATACAATGTAGGATCTTAAACATGACATGCAAACACGGACGTCTTACACAGAATAGCTGCTGCATACTGGGCTGGCTTACAAATCAGAGGTATTATTCTATGGGGTATTGGTATGTCAGAGTATATTCTAACACCTATGGGTAATCATGTGTAGACTAACGTCCACGGTACACTTAGTACCAGTGAACACAACCATAAAAGTGAGCAAGCTAGAAAACTGACCAAAAAATGGATTGGCCCTTACCGGATTAAGGAAGTCAAACCCAACGCAGTGGAGCCGGAACTCCCAAAACAAATGAGGGTAGTACCCACGGTCAACATTAGCCGTGTGAAACCCTACGAAGGACCGCTGCCGGGACAGCGTATAGACTGGCCCGGACCGGTTGTAGTCACCCAGGAAGGTGAAGAAGAGTTCAAAGTCGAACGGGTAGTGGATGCACGCTTGAAGCGTGGAAAATTAGAGTTCCTAGTCCTATGGAAGGGCTATGGAGATGAGGACAGAACATGGGAACCAGAAGCCCATCTGGACAATTCCCGTGACGCTGTTCACAAATTTTATTCTAAGAACCCCTCAGCTCCTAGGAAGCTTAGAGGCATGGACTCAAAACTTTTTAATTCCCATTTTCAACCTATGCCCAAAAATTTAACTACCACCTCCGGTATTTGGTCTTGCCTGGAAGTTGAGCCTTAGAAGGGGGGTAGTGCATACACCCTGAAACTCCCGGAGGAGCTCAGGGTAAGGCATATACACCCAATGTTCCACGTAGGATTATTGAGGAAACATGAGCCAAACAATGACTCATTATTCCTGAGAAGAGACCATACAGTCTTCTACGACTTTGGACAAGACAACAATACCAAATGGGTACATCAACTCAATTACTGCCCACCGATGGGAGGGCAGTAAAATCAAATTCCTGGTTCAATAGAACCTAGAAATCAGACAGGTGATACAGAGATTTTGGTGCTTGGCCACCCAGTAGTTTGTTCACAGGTATGTAATTTCTTATATTTATTAACAGGCTCAAAATTTGAAATATTATTCAGGCAGGTTTAATTTGTTGATCCTGAGCGTGACATTGCATCAACACCAACATTTCTTTGTACATTCCAAGAAATCCAGGAAAATCCACAGGAGTTTGCAGGACCGGGTAGGTTTAATTTTTATTGCCTTTTTGTGACCTTCTGAAGATTGATGTGATAGAGTCATCTGCACACTTTGCAAGCCAGATGCCCAACCCTTTTGGTGGCTGGCTGGCCCTATCTGTCCCACTAGTTATATTCATGGACAATGTTTCTGTAACATATCAAAACAGTGGCATAAACATCATGTAGTGTATATGTCTAATGCATTAATGCGTCGGGAGATGTTAGGAAAGGAGTTCTGGGTCCATTTTGTCTCATTGTCCCCACATGCTGCACCCATGGAGTTGATAAAGGGAGTCACTGACTCAATCAGGTTAGTCTCCTACTTTGTATTTATGAACTCTCATACCAACAAAATATAGCAAAGCAGCTAAATTGGGTACAATAACTTGGGGATTGCAAGTATGAGCAAGAAATCATATTACTACCTTATGTTCTTTTTGTTGCAGGGGATAACCCTATGCATGCCGAGGAATGTGGCTGTATGGGGCTCAAAAGTAATTTCTTTTGCAGAACCTGTAAAGTTGGTGGTACTCAAGCTCAGAAAAAAACTGACAAAGGCTATCAGAACATATTCAGAGTACGTTGTTTCATTTTATCTTGGTTTAATCTCACTCGCTTTCTCTAAAGTGTCAGGAAGCTCAAACTCCTCAAGAAATGCAAGCACAAATCTTGCAACAACTAGATTATTCTCTAGAGTCCAGTGAGACTGAAAAAGTCAAAGTGGCTGGCACTAATTCAGGTATATGTGACAGCAATACTGCATCAATTATCCAACATTTACTGGTGCTTGGCAAGCAACTGCGTAAATACAACTCAGTAAAGACTGATATTCCTGAAACAGAAGTGCGACTACAGCTAGAATGGGAGCTTGAAAGTCTACTTGATGACTCAACAATTGAAGACCATATTAACCCGCTATTGGGGATGCCTGGGGTTAATATCCATCAAGACAACCCCACCAAGGTCTTGCACACTGTGGGTGTAGTCAAGTATTTCTGGGCACAAAAGGTTTGGCTCCTTGAAAAAGCATATTTACTGACTACTTTCCAAACAAGGCGCAATTGATCAGCAAGGATGGCCTCAAATTTGGTGCAATTGAGTGCAGAATATATTTGTTGATTCAAGGATGGCCTCATTGGCAAGCACTTCAAAAGTCTTGCACAGGTGATGCCATATCTTATTTACGACTTGGTTTTGCAAGATGTCCTCAATGGTTGGTGTGTCATTGGAAACTTGGTTGTGCTTCTCCGGCACACCAAGATAGACAATGCTGAGGTGTATTTGGTGAGCCTGGTTTCACTTTTTATCACAGGCATTTAACAGGCCAAAAGAATTAAGCTCAACTCTCATGTACCATTGAAGACTTTCTCAATATCACTGCAAAATACGCACCCAGCATACTAATAAAGAAGCCAAAGTTTCATTTCCTACTTCACTTACAAGGCTTTTGTATGCAGATTTGGACCTGCATTATTATTTTCAACCAAACAAAATGAATCTTTCAACCACATTTTCAGGCTCTCTTCAGTATACAGCAATCATTTGCTTTGCAAGACGCTATTAAACATATTGCTACACATATTGCTACAGGAGGCTACTGGCAGGACAACACTACCAAAAACTGGCTAAATACTGGTCAAGCTATACAGGAATACAGTGCTAACCACCCAGAGCAATGACACTTGTTGGGACTGACTTAGGTTTGGCCAGATTCATAATAACCACGCCGGGCAAGCAATCAGACCCTATTTCCTGGAAATCAACACTCTTGACATTCTGTAGTTCCCCTCATCTTTGCACAAACATAATTTGGGTTACCAACCTACAACAGGTTCAACTTAATGCTGCAAAACTTATACGTCAAAAGAAGGCCACTCAAATTGTGCAAGAGGAAGATGGCTCTGGCGCGGTTGACATCCAACAGGTCCCTGACACGCCAACGCCGGATGTACCAACCCCCACCTTTAACAGTACCCCAACAAGAAGAGCCCCCCAAAAAGGACAAGGTACTAGGCCCTCAAAGAATAAACAAGTTTCCCCATTCTCCACACTGCAGCCTGCATCATCACAGCCTGGCCCATCCAACCTCGACTAGCTGTTCACATTGTCGGTGTCACCTCAGCCTAGCCCATCCCACTACCGCCACCACCAGCATCTGTTTGCATCACCTGCATCAGCACAACCTGGCCCATCCCGCCTTCACCAGTCTTTCACATTGCCAGTGTCACCTCAGCCTAGCTCATCTCACTACCACTACCACCAGTGTCCATTTGCTTTGCCTAATTCACCACAATTTGGACCTTCTCACTATCACAGAAAAACTTGATTTTGGCATTATTATCCTGTTAAGTATCATCTTTCTGTGTCTATTGTTGGCTGCCTTACAGGATAATTTGTTCTCTGGCTCTATTGTGTTTGCAGAAACATGGAGCTAAAAGTTTTGCATCTTTTCTCTCCCAGCTCAAGCATCAACAAGTGTCTGATGGGGTTTTATCAACCCCTTCACTCTCCATGCCTGCTTTTTGTGGGAATCCAAGAACCCTCAGTCCTCCTGGAACGCCTGAAGCCTTTCTTGCCCCCGCTCTGGTTCATCAAATGATTTTGATCAACCAAGCATAAAATGCCTGAAGGGGCTTGGCATAGAACCCAGCAAATTGTGCAAGCTCCCTCCCCGGAGCCTTGATAACTTTGCAGAGGTATGTACATCCTTTTCTAGGTGACCTGCCAAATGGTGACCTGCCAAATGATGGTTTTACCAGCTTGGCAGTACAGTCAGAATGCTACTCAACATCAAGGGGCATCTTCTTGCCATGGAATCAGTCACTTGGGATTCTGAATGAGACAAGGCCTTGGAAATGCTAGGCTTGGCAGATTTTAGGGCAAATAGATTTGCTCTTTTCATTCACACCACACTAAAATATCACCAATATTTAGAAACTCCTGAACAACCATCTTTGAGCCTGTGTATTCTCCCAAAACCTCCCAACTTATTTACAGCTTATGTAACAGACCTTAGTGACTGCATTTTTGTAAGTAAAATTTGTTCTTCCTTCTTTTTTTTGCTAACTATCCATAGGAATTTCTCGAGAAAAATCCGACTGTCTTGAAGATCAAGGCAGAGGTCCTTTAAGATCCCAAAATGAGAAGTAAGTTGGGATCCTTGATTAAGGACTTGCTGACTTTGGGAAGAGGGAACATTAAACCAAAGGTATATGTATTTGATTGTTCTCTTTCTCTTAAATTGACATTGTTTCATTCATAGCCGAGGACAAGCATACAGAAGAAACAAAATATTGCTTTGCTCACAAAAGGCCTCATTCTACCCGGACTAATAAAGGTTACTCTGGCCCACTGGGCCAGAATAACATTCTTAGTGATTTGTTCATACATTTTGAGTTCTAATATGCTGATCCCTGAGAGTAGTGTGCCTCGCTGGTGGAATTCTGAAGGCTTATTGCCTCCCAAACCTCCTAAAGTATTTATGAGGAGCAAGATAACACCGGAAGCAACACTGATGGAAATGATCAACAAGAAGATAGAGCCACACCAAATGGTGATTAAGACACAGAGGAGAGGGGCAGCAGCATAGGAGCTCCCCAAGTGTGGAAAGATGAGCAGTCTGGATGTATGTGTCACAACCAAAGTTTTGATACTCTGGTGCACAACTCAGACAAAGCTATAAAGGTAGTGAGGGGAGTGGTTACCCTTTTAGATAGGACCGAGTTTGTTGTGGGTAAACAACAGGAGGACCCGCTGAGGAGTCTCCTTGATCTATTGGGGTATATATACTACTACAGGTTGTTTGTACATGTATACTGTACAGTTGATGGAGGCAGTGGCTGATGATGTCATGGGGCACAGCCCGTGTGGACAGCTCCACTGTGTAAGATACTTGTATCTAAAAATAAGAAAAAGGCAGCACAGCACGAGAAGTGGAGTTTGAACAATAATGGAAAGTGCCGCATGGCACAGGGTGTGAAAACTACAAAAGAAGGTTGAAGAGGAGAATGAAATTTAAAGGTCTGGAAATTGTGTTATTGTAACAGTATGTGGACCAGCTCCTCTATGAAATTCAGGAACATGCAAAAAAGGGCACTGTGACTACCAAGGAATGGGAGGATAATGTAAAAGTGTGTGTACATACTAATCTGTACATATGATGCAGTATTCTTACTTGAAAATAGCTGATGAAGCACTCCATCCTGCCACAATACTCACCTTTTTTCTGCACTGCTACAAGGGCCTCAGAGTTGTAGCTCAAGCATTGCCATAATGTCAATTTATCATTATAATGTCGCTAACAATATTATAAACTGATCAATTGCTGCTGATAACCTCCTCAGATCATTTGGACTTGGCCTCATACAACCATTGTAGACAGTTGCGCAGTGTGCGTAAGTACTATCTATTTAAGTTTTATTGCTCACATGTCGACAAATTAGGTCTTACAATTATCTGTGTAGACCTCTGACAGACGTAAGGGCCCGTTCAGCAGCCACCGTTTTGAAATGTTGCCCGCCAAAAAAGTCTTGTTTCATTTCAAAAGGTGCCCTTTCAAAACGGGCCTGTTTCGGAACAAGCTGACATGTTTGGCGACACAACTTATTTTGGAAAAAGCTTGTCACACCACTGAGTACCCATAAAATAAGATAGGCCTTTGATGCTATCATGTGATCATGTGACAAAAAGTGTTACACTTGGTGACAAACTAGAAAAAGCTACCTTCTTGCTCGATATGAACTACTTAAGTTTTTTTTTGCGAGAAAAGCTGGACTTGATAATTAGATAGATTTCTGCGAGCAGAACTCAAAAGAAAGTGGTGCCTTATAAAGACGAGGTAGATTTTCTGTGGCAAAGATAACAAAAAATCAAACTGATGTGCCTCGTTGCGCCAATTGTCACAGGCCAAATCACATCATGTGATAGCATTAATTATGGATGAGACCTAAGCTTACTTAATTTACAATCCTGAAATTTGTGTAACATGATGTGACATAGCGTGAGAAATTTTGTTTGCCTCTCACACATCACAGTGAGGAGCATTTTGACGTTCTAAAATGTTATCCAAAACTGCAAATAAAATATATAGTTTTACATTAACATTTCAATCATCTGAAATTTAAAATTGTGCTCGGGCCCAAAATTGTATTCAAAGTAGTATATTTTATTGAACATTCAACTCTTTCAAAAAACATATATATATATATATAATTCATTTGTTGAAAAATAGACACCTATTGTTACAAATTTCACTCAAGATTTGAGTGAGTCCCAAAATTTGTGCACAAAAAGTCGGTGTGAATATGATATCTTATCTGCCATGTGTAAAAGTTCTAAATATGAAATTCTGGTTCTCATTTTGGTAGCACCTGTAATATGACATTTTGAGTGCTATCAAAAGGCATTGCCCACTCATTAGCCCCTGATCGCCCCTCCCTTACCCAATGCTTGCCCAAGCAATACCCGCTCTTTCTATGCTTTACATACGGTGTCACCATATCATATATTCTGTTATAATATACCTATACATCAATAGCATTAACTACTTGTGAAATAATTGTCAGCATTTTTAGAAAGGTTTCCCTGAGTAAATCATCCAAGACATCCAGTAATTGTGATAAAGGCCTCAACATTTTCCCAATTGGTGTCATGAGGTGTTGTAACATTTGGATGTGAGAGTATAGGCCAAGGTACCTTCATAGCTGAGGGAGGGACCTTGGATGTATTAAAGAAGTTCCACACTGCAACAAACCGTTGAATAGCGAGGGCATTGTCCCATTTTCCATCCAGATTCTCACGTAATACCTGCTGCTTCTTTGCTTCAAATTTTTGTTTCTTATGTTCTTCTTCCTGCTTTAGATGCTGTTTCTTTTTAATTCTCTTCTGGTATTTCTGCTTCTGCCACTCCTGAACTGACTTTGCCTCAAGCTCTGCTTGTGCAGCAAATGCTTCCTCCATCACTTTCATATCATCAAACTTTGCTTGGTTGACTTTCATGTGTTCTCATCGCAATTTTTGGACTTCTTTCAACCGCTGATATTGTTTGAAAACACCTCGAGCCATTCTCCCAGCTATGTCATTGGGGGATATGTTGCAGGTTTGTTTGGGGCTCGGCTGAGGGGAAGATACCTTCCTTGGACTCGTGTACTTTTCTGGGATTATGTAGCTGCTATCTATCTCAGATGCTATAGAATTTTGAGTTTACTAAATTGGGTGAAGTGTGAACCAAACCAAACAAGGTTACATTTTTGTTTGGGAACACTGGCTTGAGATGCACCAGGAAGACTACTGGCATCATTATTGCTACACACACCTGCTTCAATATTTTTGTTGACTGACATGGCACTGCTTGTACCCAGTGTTGCAGAATATTTCTCTTGTAGGCAGTCCAACGGAATGATTGTCAAAATTTGGGGTGCCAGATAGACATGGCATTTATACGCCGGATCCAATTTATATATATCCCACTGATCCATCATACAATATAAAAGCTCCCTGGAGATCTGGTCAGAAATAAAGAATGCTCAATGGAAAGAGTATCTACCCATTGAGATTAACCAGCTGAGGCCAGGACCCTTCATCATCTACCTCAGGTTCCAATATTGCTTTGGGAACATATTGCCATGTCAAATCTCCAGAAGGGAAAACCTCAAGTACAATCCTTCTATGAGTAATATTACAGCCCTGGGATGTGACGCGGTTGTTGCTGGCGGTGAATTTGTTGTAATTGACAAACACGAGCCTAGAGGCTGGATGCCGCAGTAAGTGTGATGACTGCGACAGGTCAATGACACCAGGTAAAGAGCCGCTAAGGAGTCAAAGGTTAACTTGTGAACACAAAATTGAGCAATGTGAGGTGTAGTAACACCCCAGATTGCAACAGCCAGCTGAATGAATGAGACCAAGTGCACTGCACTGGCCTTACTAAAAAATAAAATAAGTGTGAGGTGGGAACAACAGATTCTGATGTGCAGCAACAGAACTAGTCTGAAATATTTCCTTTGGTTCTTGGACATCACTTGAAGGTCCTGATAAGATGGCTTCTGGGGAAAGGACATCTACAGCAAGACACTATACAATCCTGCCTTGCAGAAAAGCAACACATCTATGAGTGCTGAGCAGAAGTTTGTTGCAGGCATCCTGATAACAACTATAGTCAATAACATCAAGTTTATAACCTTCCCTTCAATACCCCAGAGTGATGTGATGTGGCGGGACAACACTGGGCGGTGTTTCCACTTGCAGAAGAGTTTTAAATGGCATAGCCATTGATGTGAGCTGTAGAGTGACATCTTCCAAACTAGGCCCAAATCCTTGCTGTATACATTCCAACATAGATGAAGATTTTCTCAGACAAATTTTCCATTTTGGGCTTGTTGCTAGGCCAAGAGAGCTGAGTAGTTAGTGGTCTTGTGAAGTGTCTTTGAAGCAAATGGGGGTGATTTGAAAAGGAAAATTGTGTCCTTGAATGTAGTGTGGAAAAGAATTGCTCATGTCCCAGACAGGTGGCAGTGCACCTCTAGCCGTTTTATATTGACTAAGGGATAGAAAAGCAGATGTAAAGTAGCAAGCGGAGGAGGACCAGCTGGGGAGCTGTGCATTTAAGCCAATATCTCCCCCTATTTCTTTAACGTCTTTTCATTTAACGAGCTCAATTATGTGACACTCACCAACTGAGAATATATCTTTTGGTACAAAACTGTAACGGAATTGCAGGATATCCTCTGCTGAAGGTACAGTAAGCTGAAACACAGCCAAACATTCTTGAGCCAAGGACAAGTCGACTTGTAAGGAAGAGCTGATCTGTTTGCAAAATTCAGGTAGCATCGGGGCTTGTCCTTTGAGTTCCTCATGATTGCCTTTTTCTGACAACATATTATCTTGCCCCGCATCCGCAATGAATTTGTGACATATATCCCAGCAGTAGGAGAAACTGTCATAAAATCTGTGCTGATCTGGAATCAACAACCAACATTGACAGACAATGTTGAATGGCATACGTCTTCACACCCAGTAAATTGCACCATCTTTCTCAAAGTTCCACATATAAACACAACACTTCCGTGTCTCTGGCATCGGGAAACTGGCCATCTTCTCCTTGATATTGAGACAAAGTTGCTGATGGCAACTGGATTCATGAGCACAAATCACAGCATTTTCATCATCTCTTTGGGCCATAAAATCTCTCCAATGCTCTCCAAGCCTCTGTCTGCTTCCTTTTTCAACTTGATATTCCAGTGTATTGTTGTAGTTGTACAAGCCAGCGAGCTGGTGCAGTAGGCAGTGTACATAGACTCCATCTTGCACTGCATTTGTTCCAGCCTATCTGCTCCTTATCCGCCTTTACTGTGTTCACGGCTCGCAATGAAAGGTAGTACTTCAGGATAGGGGCCATTATAGTTGAGGGTTATATTTGGCTCTGCCCATATATTCCATAATAGAACCATACAGGAATGTTGGCTTGTATTGTACGGGATACCATTTCCATTTAATCATAGGATTGTGAAGCATGTATGAACACCCCGCATCATTTCGTCAACTTGGAAAAGTCACCAACAACTGAGAATCATAGATTTTTAACCCATTCTGGATGAACTCTGCAAGAGTCTTGCAGTACACGAGCCCAAGGTGGGTGAGGATCTCCTAAACACTTTCCTTTGCTAAACATCGCCAGGACAAAAGAACAAAGGCCAAAGAAGGGAATGAAGGCAAAACGGGAGACCAAAGCAGCCTTGGATGCTTTAGCTTCACTCTGGTGCCCCTTGAGGTATCCAAAGTTTTTAATATAGGGGTATGTCTCGCAGTCAAGGGGCCAAAGAATTGGCTGTAATTGCTCAAGATAGTACATTGCTCGAGTGATACTGTCTTCAAGCCTTGCCCATGACACGCGTACTTTTTTTTCAAGATAATAGACGCTGTCAATTTTTTCAAGCGGAATTTTGGAGGGAAGTTTCAAGCAACCAGTGAGTAGGCCATCAGATTTGATTTCCAGTGGTGTAAAACCAATGTAGGAGTAGGCGGCAGAAACCCAATGTGGAACAAGGGTTTCACGGGGGTGCATGCTAGCACGAAGGACATCATCCGGAGATGGAACGTAGGGAAGGAAATTGGCAGTAGGTGATGCATAAATGCAAAGAGTCTCGTCCAGATGAACAAAGGAGTGATCTGTTGACTGCGCCATCTGTATGTAGTACAATGGGGGTGTTTTTTTGTTTATGAAGTGATGAAGGACCTTGTCCTGTTCTTGGGAGGGGCTTTTGGGTATTTTTCCTCTCTAGAACATCTGTGGTGTACAAATGCCACAGGCGTAGAGGATCAATTGGTGGTGGTGGTCCGCAGTGAAGTAACTTGAAAGCTGGTGACAGATAAAGACACGCAAATTATTTGTCATGTGCAATGACCAAATATGGGAAAGGCCTGTTGCGCGACTGTGATCATGACATGTCTGAGTCCCCATTGCCCAATTATTGCCCACTGCATTTCTACCCTCCACGGTCACCGTCACTGCTATTGCATGATGCAACTGGGGGGTTTCTACCTCCCAGTTGTATATTCTTTGTGGACAATAAACCTAGGCCCAGGACCACTGCAATCTCAAATCAGAGAATGCTACCCATGTCAATTATCCGAGCTATCGCAGGGCAGCCATTTGTTGTGTGCTAGGTCATCTGGGGTGTTCCTACCTCCCAGATGCTGCTGCTATGGCTCATTTTTGCCACCATCCAGTTATGTTATTTCACGTGAGTCAACACCCTTGTTGGAAAGGATAGCAGGAGGAGCACCACTAGATGGGATGCCCATAACAAAGGGTGGTGAAGGCAGAAAATGAATAAAGGAAAGGAAAAAGGAGTATGAGAGGAATGTGCAAGAGATAGGACAGAATGTAGAAAAGGAAGCACACAGTTTGATTTACGAGAAAAATCTGTTAGTTTTGGTGATTCTGCACCTTAGTGCTTTCTACTTATTTTCATTCCTTTCACTATCTATTCCTATATCATTTATTATTGGTTGTGTTCTCTATTATTTTGCCTCTGTGGCTCCTTTGTTTACCTTTGTTTAGAAGACTAAGAAGACTGAGCACAACCAATTCATATTCCACACAAATTGTGAGTCAAACATTTCCTATTATTATACTGCAACCTCACAAATATTGGCTAGGGTGAACAATCTGAAGCCCTGGATTTGCTTGGTTCTGATGCAGAAAACCATGAATATGAGGGTTGAGCCTCATCAGCGGGTGAAGATTCTCAATCAACCCCCTTCAACATGCATTCAGAAGAGGGAAATCAAGATGATGGATTGCAGGTCTATGGTCTCAACAATGAGAGTGATGGAAATGTTGATTAGTTGAAAATAATGTTTACTTACAGTATTTTTTATGCTATAACATCTTTGCCTGTTAACTTGCAAGTATCTGCCAGTGAGACCAATGCACATATATATCACACTGATAATTATAGAGGCAAAGTAGCAGTCTGGTTGTATATTAGAAGGCTAGATAAGCTAGCTTGCATGGTAATTATACTATTTTTTCTGACTACCCAACAGTGCCAGTAGTGTATAAAAGCTGATACAACTATGTCAATCTTACTCTCATATTATAATCATAGGTATAACCTGACAGTCAGATGTAAGACTTGGGACGGATTGTAAATTTTGCCTGGTAATATCAGCACCTCACCATTCTCCTGATGATGGAATGATTACCTTTATTTATATTAACTATACAGTACCACATGTATTTTAGTACATATACCCTTGCAATAGATAGAAACTGACTTGTTCCTAACAACTTGAGTCTACAAACTCTCATCTTCTTCATCATCATCCTCTTGAGTTCTTTTGTGTGTCCACCAGAGTATACAAACTTTGGGGTATTGTGTTACAACCAAAGTTTTTATTATACTCTGGCGTACAGAGAACACAAACAGAGAGGAGTGAGTAAACTCCCTTAAGGTTGGACCGATTTAGTTGTGGGTAAACAACAGGAGGACTTACTGGGGTGTGGTGGCTGATGATGTCATAGGGTGTAGCCCTTGTAACCAGCTCCACCACATGAGAGAGTTGTAGCTATGGGTCAAGGAAGGTGGTGCAGCATAAGAAAGTAAAAGGATAAGTGGTGTTTGGATATAAAAGGAAAGTGCCGCATAGCATAAGTGTCCAAAAATGATAAAGAAAGTTAAAAAGGAGAATAAAAGTTGAAAGTCCAAAAATTGTGTAACAGCGAGTGCCATAGTGGTAATGCCAATTCCTGCCTGGCTTCTTACCACTGATTATGTAGGCATACATACAAGGGTTTCTTGGGTTGAAAGGATTCGCCTCCATGGTGTGACATTGAGTCCATTCCATCAGCAGCTTCTTCTCTGGTGTTGTTAGCAGCTGATTTGCTGCCTGTCCATCCTGTTGGGGTTTGTGTAAGCCAGTTGCACAATCATGTAAAGTCTGGCAGATGACCTGATTAGGAAAACAAGGTATTAGAACCCTTGATAAGCATTTGATTTATCAGTTTGATGTTGATTAATTACTCATGTCATGTGCTCGGTCAGCACTAGCATATGATTTATATTTGCCAGCATTTTGGTTTTGCTGTGATTATTGAGGCGTGTCATAATTTGGCAATGAGCTCAATGAATAAGACAAGTTTGTCTGTGTCAGAACTGTGACCTTCAGAGTGATCAGAGTTCACAGTTCAGAGATGAGGTGGGAGGCAGAACAGAGTACAAGATTGGGAGTTGACTTAACTTGTGCACTAGGCCCGTTTTCTCCACACATTCTCATACTCCTTATGGACTCTGTATTTTAGACCGTATGGTATACTCCCCTCACATAGAATTTCCCCTCACTAGGTAATTGTCTGCATGAAACTCAATACCTACATTACAAGTTACTCCTTATGAACTCCAATCCCTCCAATAGTATATCAGCTGTAGCTTCTGCACTCCATTCCTGCAGTTTGAATATCTACTAGTTCCTCCACCTTTCATCCAAGCTTTTTTCTAAGTCTTCCTGTCCTTCTCCAAAGGATCATTACTCCTCTCCACCTGTAACAACCAAGAGTTATTTACTCTGGCGCACACAGGAACACACTATAGAGAAGATGATGGGGAGTGGTTACCCCTTAGGCTGCAGTGAGTTAGTTGTGCTAGACAACAGGAGGACTCGCTGAGTCCTTCCCCATGTATTGCTCTTGTATATATACTAAAATACATGAGGTACTGTACAGTTGTAAATAAAGTTCAAAGTCCAATGTCTAGCATGTGACTGGTCATGTGACTATGAAAAGTCGAAAATGTAAAGTAAAGTAAATGGTCACATGACTGGTCATGTGACTTGGAAAATAAAAGTAGAAGTACAAAAGTGAAGCGTAAGTAGGTACTGGTATGTTAATTGTAACACCACCTTTCATCCTCTACTCTCACACATTCACTCTGTCAAGTTAGGGACTAAGGTCTGTGGAAGTATGGCAGACTAGAAGTCCAGTGCAAGAGAATCAGAGCAGATATCCGGAGTACCATGTGGAGGTGGGGTACAGGGCTATGCCAAATGGCAGAGCACGAGGAGTGTAATTCCGAGAGTACTAAAGATTTGGGAGTTCAGACTTGAGGGTCTCTGACTTTTTGGAGGTCTGGAAATCATAGCCTGTGGCATGGATATAACGGTCTGTCAATGTATAGTATAGTGTGTGCCTGGTGGTCTTGGAAAGTTGAAACTACAATTGCGCTGTGTTTGGCAGAGTGTTACTTTGTTGAAAATCATGCAAAATAAGGGACTCACTCAATAATGCAAATTTGGAGGTAGGAAAACTTGGGTTATTCATTTGGAAGGCATAAAATTGTGTCTAATAAGTGTATTTAGCTATTGAGGTAGCAGAATTATTGTATCTCAAAAATATCCAAATAGCCCCCCCCATCTGAACTGCACCTTGGACAGCTCTTCTCAGACCCACTCGTAGTCACTGAGATGTGTTTTTTTGTTGTGGGAAATCTGTCTTTGAGATGAACAATCTGTGTTTCTTTGATGAACCTTATTCTAAAAATAGACCACACCCTCTTACCTTTCCTCCTCAATAGTGTCTGGACTTTGACAAGCCTTTGGGCACATTATGGAAAGCCACCTGAAGAATATAGCCTTACTAGTACTGTATCATATACAATTTTAGCTTGCCATGAAAATATTATGCTAAATCTTTTCATTTACTCACCATGGGCCCCCCTTCAGGTAGCCGTGCAGCCCAACCTATATCTTCAGGACTGGGAAATCACTTTGCTAGCCCACAAAAGAAGAAAAACATAAGGAAAACTAAAGCCTTATTAAGATTCCCCAGAAAAGAAGCCAAACACCATCAACTGCTTGATAAAATAGAGGAGCTAATGCATTCAAAGCCGCCAGAGCTCCAGCCCTTCAAAATCACAGATATCAGCAGTGCAAGAATTGATGCAGATAAGGGGATGGCTTCCTTATACAATACACTGCAGAGTGCTAATGTCGATTATGGTGAAAATTTGTTAGATATTGACTCTGGGCTTGAAGACTCCAAGGTTACATCATCCCCCAGCCATTGTTGTATTCTCCCAGACATGTCAACCCTGTGCCTGTATGACTCCTAGAAAGCACTAATACTTAGTTTTGTTGACCCATACATAGATTATCTGTTGTGCACTCTCTTGAAGCCACTTTCAACAGTGCATTCAAGCTCTGTATTTTTAATTTGTCCAAAGTCTAATTGTGTGCAAAAATAAATATTAATGATGTCTCTTCTTTGGGTGTATGTAGTCTATTTTTCTCTCCACACGTTGTATGCTTATTTTGATATCAGACCTTGCTTGTATTTATATACCTAGTTGTCAATGTGTGATGCTCCCTCAAGTCCTAATCTATCATGGTTTATTTCCATTCACGCCATCAAAGCCCTGGATGGCTATATACATTGACCTGCTAACATTCTATTGCACACTTTTTGAGTGGTCATGCAATGTGATTAATGTGCTGGCAGCAGCTCTTCAAACCCACTATATTGGCAGAGGCTTTAGAATGACAACACCTTGGGTAAGTCTCACTAACCACTCACTGTGCAAACCTATTCACACTTTCACACAGGGAGAGGCTATCCACGAGCCTTTCTAACAAAGCCTTGGTCAAGTAGTGCAATGGTACAATGTTCTTCACATTGAAGTTGAATGACGGACCGATGCAGCTATACAGCATTGTCGCAGTCAAGTAGCTGCTGCATAAGAGCCTCTGCACTTGTACAATACAGTATGCCCTCAACAAGGCACATAATCTCAGCTGTACTTTTGGCACCTACATGAGAGGCTCTCAGTTTATCCTCTCCATCACTCAGATCACCAGTACAATCCCTCACACCACCCACACTATCACATGGTCATTGCAGGACAATCAGTTTATTTTCAATCCTTGCATGTCCCTTGGCCTTGGCCTGTTCTGATGGAGAAGGCACAAAAAGGTTATGGTCCCATTTTATCAGGCTCATTGGTGTTGAATGGTCATCTTTGGTACATTTCCTCCCTCACCACCATGTGCATATTTATATGTACACCTTTGATCAGCCCAAAAGCCCATTGTAACACAGGCTCTTGGGCTGTGGAGTGCTTATACAGGTGGGTACATATCATTGTGGCACTACATACCAATGTCTTTTGTGCTAATATGTGCTCTGGTTTATTGCTTTCTAGGACTGCCTGGATCAAGTCCAAGATTAATAACCCATTGTCTTGCATGTTCTGCAGAATATTGTTCACTCTGTGAGCTTTGTTCATTGGGGTCATATACTTATTTGTAGACATAGATTTGTTTAAGTATTAAATATTAGCTTTTCATTGCAGCATGTTTCCATTATTGTAATATCATGTTCTTAATCTACCTGGCTGTTGTAATTACTACTTTATTCAAGAGGTATCCTGTCACGTCACCCAATTTGTCTATTACAGCCAATTTTATTATTAGCTGACCAAGGATGTGTCAGACTCGGTGTTGGAATATGGTGGTATAAATAGACAATAATGTAGCACCACTGCAAGTTTTGCCAGTCAGTTAGGTGTGTTAAGCCCATCTCAAGTTTTGGTACAATCTCGGACATATCAACTTGCTCTAGAATTTGCTTAACACACCCACCGACTGGTTGTAGTCTGGCTTAGCGGCAAAGGTGTCTATGCCGCAGAGCAAAGACCAGCAGCACAAGGCATCTTAGATGGATGTCGAGATACAGTCACAGATTTACAAATGCAATGGTCTGAACATAAGGAGTTGCAGTCATTGGTACAATCTCATGTGTGACAATATCAATGGTAGAGGCCTTAATACTTATTTTCCTGCATTTCAGATGCTTCTGCACAGCTCAAGGAAGAGCTTGATGTTGTTTTGGCTCTTCAGACTGGTTTGGACACACTAATATGATGCTACAAGCAGCCAAAGCGGTGATCGAGAAATGCACTACCCCTGATAGTGCTCTTAAGGTGCTTGGTAGCCTTGAGAGGGGCCATGAGCATTTGCTAAAGAAGGCTGAAACACTGTATGCCTCTCTCAATGTTCAGGACAAATTCCCAGAGCTCAAAGGGATCAACTTGGAGTTTGTGCGTATACTATTGATGGCACAGAACCTTAGAATCAACACACGCAAGGGGGCAATTGTAAGCTTTTTTGAATGGGACAAGCTTGATTGTGCAGTTAGAGGAACACAGAAAGCACTCAGTAATGCCCCTTATTTCTTGTCTTTTCTATCTGATGCTCATTGTAGATTATAGGTACAAAACTCCACCAACAAACCCAAAAAGCCATAGCAAAGCGGCAACCAGCTCTTACGACAGCTCTTTGCAAGTTCAATGTATATTGTGAGCGGTTACTTGACCTTTATAATCCATCCTAGGCAATTCCACTTCCAACACCTCTTCTCACTAAACTCAATGACTCATGAAACAATCAAACCCTCATAGAAGGCATTTGAATCACACCAGCACCCGGAGAGATACCATGATGGGATGTGTGTATTGTTGAAACACAATGGGTGTAGGGAAGAGCAGAGGTGCCTTGGTGTAGAGGCTAATAACATCTGTCAATGTTTTGGGGAGGAGCTTGCAGCTATTGAGTTAGCTCCGTTTACACCACTTGTAAGTAATACAAGCTCATATTCTTACAGAGATCTATTATGCTTTACAGATATGCGGCTCCATCTTACATTGCACCAGAACCAGGAGCACATGCTGGTAAACCCATTGGTATCACTAACATGCTTCAAGAGCCAGGCAAACAAAGGCATCAAATTGGCCATCAGGCTCTTAGGAGGCTCAACTGCAACCACGTATCATTGGATAAATACTACAACTATGCTATTACCCAACTTAACTACTATAAAAATTGATGCTGATGTTGAAACAGTTATTCTAACAGAGAATAATTTTTGCACTTGACCCAGAACAAGTCACCCTGGGCATATTGGCTGGAGATAATAGAGAGGCAGACAAGGAACAAGACAATGAAGAAAATGAAAATATAGCTGATGTGTAGATCATTTGGGAGGCTCTAGAGGTATGCTTGATATCATCTTAACAACAGCACATTGACAGAAAGATATTCACAAGGACCTTGACATTGGAAAATTCCCTATCTTGTCCTACAATGAAATAGTAATTGCAGCAGGTTTAACTATGAAGAGAGTGCAAGCACCTCAAGATGGATTCTGGCAGCTGATAATTGAAGCTGAAAATATCACAATGCTCTCCTCTCTATCTGCTTGACTCAATGATACATGTGTTAATGACTGCACCACCTTGTTATACTCAGAGTTTCTATTGCCACATACTCAACAATGTGCTACTTTTTCCACCCACAATCTCCCATGTATTCAATACCATGTGTCCAATGACATCCTTTGGTGAACCATGTCCTAGTGTTTGTATTGGGAGAAAGATATATGGATAATACCTATACACCGCCCATTGCTAGTGGGACATTGGGTCTCCTGTATTGCTCACCTCTCAACCAAACAGCTTCATCTGTTTGATAGTTTGGGAGACAGAAGGGAATGGAAAGCGGATGTCAAGGTAAGTGGACTCTCTTGCACTAGGCAACCATTAAAAGATTCAATAGGATACTATGACACTAATAATAAGGCTGCAAGCCATAGCCAATCAACACCATGAATGCTGTTGAGTGGACACAAAAAGATGGGTAGCTAGGCCTATCATTGTGAGTCTGGTTAATTTGTTTGGTTAACATCCCTCACATCAGTTTTAATGCAACTATGAAAAGTAAAGTAAATGATCACATGATCAGTCACGTGACTTGGAAAATGAAAAGTAAAAGTGAAGTGTACAGTAGGTGCTGGTATATCAATTATGATACCAGCTCTGAAAACCTACCACACTATGCCTCCTTCTCCAGCCCAAAGTGGTGCCCATGCATCACATCAACAAGAGAGGATGTGAATTGAGCTTTTCCTGGTGTATTGGAAGGATCTGGTAGTTTGTAAGGAGGTACCGAGTCCCACAGGGGAAGTTCAGATTCATCCACATAGTCTGGCCCTCGCAATGCTTCATGAAAAAGGTGTTCAGCTGAAAGAGGTCTTGCAGCAATAAGCTAAACAAATATAGTGGGTAGCTGTTGGAGCTCCCAAAGCTTAGACTTGTATTGGTGATACAAAGCTTCATTACAACCTGGAAGAGAAGGGTTTTTGGTGTGTCATCTGTGAGACTTAGCATAATGGTGATTTTTCTGTATTTTTTGCATAACTTTTCTCTGTATATTGGTTAATATATGTTTCAAGTGTTGTTGCATAAGCTTACCCTGTTGTAAGAGCATATTGATCTTTGCACTCTTGAATTGTGGTGAGGCTGTCTGCGAGGCTTAGATATTTTGCCACACATCCCATGGTGTTAAAACCAAAGAAATCAAGCCCATGATATGTATGCAAGAGCTACATGCAGACTGCAAGATTTTCAGTCCTTGGATTATGATATTTGTATGAAGCCTCTGGAGAAATTGATATCAATGTGATGGGGTGGCTCCCCTGTATTTATTCAATGTAGTATACTGGTCATGGAGTCATGTTTGCATCTTCCAGATATGTTTTACATTCAGTAGGTCATTTATTCATATTGTGTGATTAGCCATTAGCCCATTGATGGAAGAAACAGGCCAGGCGGAGCTACTACTGTAGTAGAAAAGTGTATTTCCCATGCCCAGAACATTCAATTGTCCATACACCAAGCTTGCACTTTCTGTGTTGCTCTCTGCACGCTTGCACAGTGCTCCTCCGAGCCTCTCAGTAAAGGTAAGTTGCCAATTCTGACAACTATGGTCATCTTCACTTCTATTTTGTTTTCTTTCAGCAAATCCCACCACCTTTTTCTTTTTTCAAAGAATATCTTGACAGTATGGAAAGCTTAAAAGCACACTGGCATCTCAAAATTTCCCAAAGTTTTCCCCTCATCATTGTCCTCTCAAGTGTCTGTAGCTCATCTCAGTAGAAATGGTACCTCACCCTGCACTATCTGCCGTGTCGGTCAATTTTTCTATTGTCAGGTAAGTTATACATACATATATCTTGATGTAATATATCTAGTATGCTTAATACACCCCGACATGTTAGCATTTGTTGCAAGGACCTAAAAAACACTCCTGGTCAACCAATCATGTTTTCTGTATTGGTATTGACATACAGTATATCCTCTTTGTCTTGTGATATATCTACTATCTTGGTAAGTGCCTTCCTAATCCTTCCAACAAAGACTTTGATTCAGAAACAATTTCCTTAACAGAAAAATGAATGAAGATCTTGACAGCATATTCCAAACACCACCTCAATATTGTCCAATTTTCTTGTCAGCTCCAGATGTCCCAGAGAATGCCAAAAGTACAACCAATAGCAGCTATGGTTATTCACAAATTAAAAGGGGTCACCAATCATCTCCTATTATTGCAATGCATACTTGACTTTAGAGCCAACATCAAGGCAATTTAGCATGATTTATGGCTTATTTGCAAAGCTCAAGGCTGGAAAACAAGACTTCTCACTGCCTCTGAGGCCCTGCCAAAGGATGAGCCATTGATTGACCCATTCCTGTCCAGCCCAAACCAAGTAGATTATCACACTGCATTTTCTGCGCAAGACCAACAATCTTCCCAAAATTTGTGCAAGAAGGGCAGATACGTTGAGATTAACTCTCCCGAGGATTTGTTTGCTGTGGATACGGATCCTCCACATCCTCCCAGCCCTGACATTCATATCACACTCCAGAGGCCCTCTGCGCCACTTCATCCATTCCTCCTTGAGTATCTGTGTGTGCACCAGAGTCTACAAACTTTGGGTATTGTTGTTGTCACATAATGGACTTAGCTTTTGATGATTGAGCCTCACGCACCACTGGCACCAGCCACCTCCCTCTAGGTGGTGTGGTTGGGAAAATACTTACTGTTTAGGACATTGGACTTTTCCGTAACTTAAGAACTCAGACTCAACGCTTTCTTGACACCTCAGTTTTCACATCAGAGACTAAGGTGAGTTTGGAAACTTTTATATATACAATCTTAGTTTTACTGAAGCAAATACCTAGTATTTCTTGTATCAGGTATTTGCTAATAAACAGAGTCTTTACATCAGAGACTGGGTACCTCTTGTATCAGGTACTAAAAACATGAATCATTCCTACTCCCAATACCATTTCTATCCAACCCACTCCTTTATCATATGTCATCCAGCCCACACATTCTATGCTCAATTTGTCATACAGCCTGCTCCACCCACACTGCCAATGGATACAGTCTGCACAATCCGCATTTTGACTTCATTCAAATTACATAATCTGCACTTTGGACTCGTTGGGTTTGCACCAAGCACAGCAGACAGTCTTATGCAGGGATAATGCACATATGCAGTAGTTTGGACACGTCAATCCACACTTCCACACAGTCCACACCCATGGGAAATTCAATCCACAAGTTGGACTCCCTCAATCTGCACTTCAGTCAGCACTTTCATACAGTCTGCAGAGTTTGTGTTTGTAGACACATAGACTCTGCATTTGCGGACACATAGGGTCCGTACTTGGACTTCAGACCCATAGGACGAGGAGCTAACTCAGCACTCCATGTACGTGCAAGCCTCCACATGGACTCCAGAGCATTATGACTGTCCACAACTTGACTACCACTTTTCTTTTATGGATTATAGGAGTTGTCCCTCACGGTATGGGACTATCTGGATGCAGGAAATGGCTCGCTGTTTCTTACATTTTCATATGGACACTTTCTAATGTTTATCCTTTGTTTCACCCATTGGTTCTCATATGATTTACACTATTTTTGCTATTTCCTTTTTGGTATTACTATAAAACTGTACTTCCAAAAGGAAGGAATACAATCTTTTGATCACCCATATACTCAGAAGTGCGGACTCTGCGAACTCATTTGCGGACCTGTGGACCTACGGACTCATCTGTGGACTCAGTTGATCCTTGTCTTCAGCACTTTCTTCTGAATCCACCGGGTTGATCCCTGTGGGTTGAATGACACATAGGTGTTTGGACGTCAGGACTATACTCAGTTCTCTCTCAGACGCCTTTAGCATCTTACACCGGGTTAACAAGTAGACAAGCCAGGACTGGTAAAAGTGACACAGAAAGGCCATGAAGGGTTTGAAGTTGAAAAAGTGGTAGATGCATACTTGAAGAGGGGAAAATTATAATTCCTAGTCCACTGGAAGGACTATGGAGATGAGGACAGAACTTGGGAACCACAAGTTCATCTGGGTCATTCTTGAGACAGTGTGCATGATTTCTATAAATTAAAACCCTCAGCTCCTAGAAAGTTTCATAGAATGGACTTAAATCTTTTCTCCTCTTTATTTCAAATAATGCCTGAAAATCTTACCACAACACTTGGTATTTGGTCCCACCTGGAAGTCAAGCCATAGGAGGGGGGTAACGTTACAACAGTATTTTTGGCATATATTTTCACTTTTATTTTCCTTCTATTTTTCTTTTATTTGGACTTTTACTTTAGGAAGTTATGTGACTAATCACATGATACATCATATAGCTGGTCATGTGCTATGACATCGTATAGAATACAATGGAACACCACAGAATATTTACCTTTATTTATATTAACTATACAATACCACATGTATTTAGGTATATATACCCTTGCAATATGCAATAAATGGAGGCTCCTCAGCGAGTCCTCTTGTTGTTTACCCACAATATACTTGGTCCTATCATAAGGGGTATTCACTCCCACTCACTTCACTCTTGCTTGTCTGAGTTGTGCGCCAGAGTATACAAACTCTTGGTTGTAACAAAAAGTGGTCAACCAGAGAAAAAAGAATAGTGTATGGGAAATGAAGAAATAAAGGAAAGGATGTGAGCATGTTATAAACAGAATATGCCAACAGGTCCTCTATTACCTACAAGGACCTATGAGGCACACACTTTTGTGATGTCTGCTCAGCATTCACTGCATATAATGGTGGGGGTGCAATTGGCATTATAGGTGTCTGTGGGTGCCCATATGCCTGCATGCCTTGTTGAACCACTGGATATGTACCTGGATGGCCATACTGCATAGCAAAGGGATGATTAGAGTATCTGATTGCTGATGTGGGATAGCCAACATAACCAGGGGGAGCCCGAGGTAGTTGATACCCCGTAACAGATGGTGCATGTTTTGTGGGTTGTTAATATAGTTGAAGTTGGCTGGTTGAGAGGCTATTGCAGTGACTTTTTTTTGCCCTACCACTGCTTGTAATTGGATATTCACTGTTACAATAACACAAATTTTCGGACCTTTCCTTTAATTTTCATTCTCCGCTTTAACCTTTTACTATAGTTCACACTCCATGCCATGCGGCACTTTCCTTTTCATTCTAACTCCAGTTTCTTGCGCAACACTGCCTTTATTCTTCTTTTAGACACAAAGTCTCTCACACAGTGGAGCTGGTCACGCGGGCTGCATCCTCTGACATCATCAGCCACTGCTTTTATCAACTGTACAGTACATAGGTACAAACACTCTGTATTAGTATAAATACCCCAATAGATCAAGGAGACTCCTCAGCGAGTCCTCCTGTTGTATACCAACAAACTCTCCGCAGCTTAAGGGGTAACCACTCCCCATTCACTATCTTTATAGTGTGTTCTTGTGTGCGCCAGAGTAACTAACTCTTGGTTGTTACATTCACCTCCATAGTTTATCGGCAATATGGAATTCACATCAAACAATTTTTTGTCCATTTACAATGTGTTTTCTCGCTATATAAGTACTAGTCTTGGACTTTGACTTCACAAGCTCTCATGCTTTCAGCCACAGCGTACTTTAGTCTTTTTAAAAAAATTTAGTCTTATATTCAAGCTCAGTTTAAGGTCAGTCAATTTCCTACATATGTGACCTTCAAAATTTCCGACCTATCAATATGAATTTTGACTTCCAGCCGCGCAGGCTCTTAATAAGTTAGTAAGTCATCTTACAGCTAAATTCATATTGATAAGCCACCACGTGAGAGCACACGTACAGGAAGACGAAATGGAGTGCGAATAGTTTTAAGTGCCGGCCACCTGCATGTGACTCTGTCAGAGTCTAACCACATCAGTTTAGCCTTTTTTTTAAGATTTAGTCTAATATTCCAACTCAATTCAACTCAGTAGAAAGTCAGTCAAACTCCTATGCGTGTGATTTTTCAAAATATCGGTCTATCGATATGAATTTAGCTGTAAGTTGTACCAGGAAACTATGCAGTTTACCTATGTATCACAATCTAACAATCTACAATTTAGATGAAGAAGAAGAAAATAGTCCCTTTATAAACAGCTAATCAAGTCCTTGTAAGTAAGATAAGTAAAAACATCCTTGATAAACAGCAAAAGACATTACGTTGCAAATACACAAACTAATATCTACCGCTAGAACTACCAGACGAACTCCAGCCATATGGCTTTGCCGAGCTTGAAGAAGCGTAAATATTGGATTCAGAGCTGGGTTTATTCCAGTAAGTGGAACTTGAACTGTGGTCCCACGCAGTCGCGGTCGGTGTAGCATACGTATTCCAACCATCACTGTTGCCAGTTGCCATTCCCCAGTAAAGTTCGCACTGATGAGCGTAACATATCAGTAACAATCATCAAGGAATAAAACACTACCTACCTTCCAGAGGCACGAGGAAAGAGCAGTTTCATACACAGTCTGAGTTTTTGTCGCAGTGTCTGTCAGTGTAGCGGTGGCTGTTGTCATGTAAGTGGTCGTCTGAAGGTAAGTTTTATCCTCTGTAATAGTAGATGTCTTCGTGTTCTCTACAGTTTGATTCTTAAAATGCAACTTTAGGCACAGCGCATGGGCCTGAACATATTGAATCCACATACGCTATCCACAGTTTGGGTTTCGACCCAAGTTGATAAATAGGTCGTAGGCTTAACGAGTGTGCTTGTCTTAGTCATTGTCACCATATCCGTTAGGGTATCTGTTTGTGTGGCAGTCGAGATGTAGGTCATCTTATCCGTTACAGTAGCCGTGTGTGTCTCAAAGACAGTTGATGTCTACAAGCAAACACGAATTATTTTCTTTCATATTCATTAGCGCGCATGTGGACTTACCTCGTCGACAACTGCGGTGCTGACCCAAACGCTAGTGTATGTTGTTGGCACCACCATCGTGCTCACTTCTGTCAACGTGATGAAGTCAGTGGCTGTCTGCCTGAGGGTTTCCGTTGCTGTGTCGGTCTGAGTGGCAGTATCAGTGACAGTCCAGAGTTTTGTTGATGTGTCGGTTGCAGTCAAGGTGTATTCCTGGGTCTTAGTTTGGTCGATTATTTCAGTAGATGTCCAAATGCGAGTCGTTGGCACTAGTTCAGTCGATGTCAAAACTTCTGTCTTAGTGGCTGTTTCGAAATCAGTTCGAGTATTTGTTTTAGTCTCGGTCCAATAGACAGTGGTAGGTACAGTTTCTGTCTGAGACTAGAGGATCAGCAAAGAGTTGAAGAACGAAGCAATGAATGAGCATACTGATGTCGTTGTCGCAGTAACCGTCCAGTACTCGGTCTTCGTCGAGGTCTCCGTCACCGTAGAGGTTTCCGTATAGCATGAACTGTAATAATCGTAGCTTTGAACCAGATTAACAGATTAAAAGGCAAGCCCATTTTGAATATAGGCTGAAGAACTACCTGTGATTGATGATGATTGTCTCATAACATCCTTCGGTGGACCACTAGAATAAGAGATATATTGAGAGGAATGATAAGTCAGCGTTGCGCTCACCCATGATTCAGATTGACAAGTCCCGTCAGAACTTTTGGTATAACCGTAACCACAGTTCATGCTACTGTAGCCACCCGAGACGAAAGAAGAATACGGCATCGTGGACCAAGTACCAGCCGAAGACACGGTGGGGGGCGAAGTGTACTGCGACGAAGCTGCCCACGAAGCCGGAGTGGCAGCTGCAGACTGAGCATATGCTGAACCTGAACTTGAATAGGAACCAGCAGGGGATGCACTTGGGGAGCTGTACATGCTAGAAATGTACGCAGATACACTGGCAGCAGGTACCATTGAAGCTCCATTGGGCTGTTGGGCAATGGTCGCACCAACAAGCGAAATGATAAAAATTGGGAATTTCATATTCAAAGAGAATATTAGTGGATGGAAATAAAATCGTGCTTGGAGTCCTTGAAGGGCTGTCTAGCAGCAGGTTGATAGGCTCCACTAACGCAAGCGCTGTAAGCAAAAGAAAATTATAAATTGCCAAAAAGTAACGATCCCCTGCTGACCGGAGTAGAGGACGAAGTGGAGGAGAAAAGAGACGAAAAGAACGAAAAGAAACAAAAAACCGAAGGAGGGAATGAGGAACTAATTGCTTTGGTACTCTTAAGCACTAGAGCCATTATTATACTTACCTTCTCTCTCTCGTCACTACGGATATCAAGGAGGCCGAAAACTCCCACGTCGTGGTCTCCTTAGTGATTGAAGGGAGTGGAGATGTGTATTGGAAATGGACACGACATGATTAATCAATACACATGTTCCATCATTTCACAGTTCAAAAAAAATAGAACATTACGGTTGGTAGTCATCAACGAAAGAGATGCCCATCTATCAAGCTAACTTTGATCATGAAGACGAGGAGCGAATCAACGGTAAAGATACTGTGGCCGCACGGCGCCCAAATTCTCCATGAACATCTAATAAAATCTTGAGAGCATTCCGTGCACGTATCCTGGACATATCATCTTGCGTGGATGCCGTAAGTACAGTTTCCACCCCCTGTGATTTTTCTTGCCACGGATACTACAAAAATATACATCAGAAAAGCAAACAGCGCAACAGAAAACGTTACCCACGGGAAAGAACTGCGGCAGCAAGGGGAAGTTTGCCCCATCATCACTAAGTATAGCAAAACGTTGATTGTAGGTTAAGTTGCATACCTTATGTAAATACTCATAGGCCAACAAAGTGAATCCGAACTGAGGACTGCTTCTAACAACTCGAGCCGGTCCACCCTTAAATAGAGCCTGGAAACCTTCCTCCCGGTCTATGCAGAAGATGAAAACCAATTCGATTGCGTAATAGCCCTTTAAAATACCCACATATTTTGATGAATGCATCAGTTAGCCCCTTGTAGTTAGTTTGACCTTGACGTGCTTCCACCTGAAGGCGAGTTTTTACAACATCTAGTAGCATTTGATGAGCGCAAAAAGGAACAAGGGATATGGCTAATGGTTTTACCTGCTGGTGTCGTAAAGTACGCCGCGGGCATACCACTGCAAAGGGATAAATCTCACGATAATTTTGTCATATAATTGACTCGACTCACGCGATAGCAGCTGAACCAAGAGTTTCCAGGAACGACAGCTGCTTTCCATTGTAACCTTCACGGAAAACGTCTTTCTTCAAATGTGCATACGCAGGGAAATAGATAGCGGAGAATGGAATGTCGCGGAGTAAGCATGCACTTGCTCCTCTATACAAACCAAATATACCCAATTGGCGCACAATATGTATAGCCCCTTTCGGTACAGCTCCCTCTAATTTAGCTGCCTCTCCTTGAATTTGGAGACGAATTTTGCTAAAAGAAGTTCAGCGTGATTGTGAAGTAGGAATAATTGGCACCATACACAATTTCCAAAGGGTTAGTAAACACCTGGGCAAAATTTTCAATACTAACGTGCAGTCAGAAAAGGCTTACAGACCACTTGGCAACCACCAGCAGCGCCGCCGGCAAACAGTTCCCATGCTAGCTTGATACGACCAGTTTCGGGATCCGTAGTGCGACCACGAATGAGATCGTTCACAGTAAGTTTAATAGCTTTTTCAGGCGCGACACCCTGATTATCTAAGGTCAACTAATTTGCGCAAGGACGAAAATGTACTGAAAGGCACCGTACAATAAGCTGAGGACCCAAACCACGATAAAAACCAAGGAACCCTTCGTTACGGAATATCTTCTTGGCACAATCAATACTGTTCTTGTACAACATCTGACCGACAACGGTACTACGTTGATTTTGCATGCTGCAAAGCAAAAATGAGCGTATATGTTCCGGACCAAGAATGAAATGCTTACCGAGTCTTGTATAACGTTAACTTTGGATCAATATAATCGCGATAAAACAAAGACAGGGTAACATACCTTAACTATGTACGACGCAATTGAAGGTTAGAATGAAATAACCTTTAAACTGCATATCGCTTACCCATGTCAATTGGGTAGACTATAGTGGCACCTAATGCCCCGGCTGCACCTAATAAAAATGGTGAGTGCATAACACATACTCTCTAGAACACACGTCTGTAACGTACCTCCTTGAACAAAATTATATGCGGAATGCAGGAGACCTTCGACAAACGAGTCTCCCTTGCTTGTAGGCTTCACGGCTTGTTCTTCGTGAGGAGCTCTCCATCGCGGATGCAGCAATTGCGCAAATTCCACCAATGCCAGCCGTTTCCCACCACTTCCCCTTCCGGCAAAGTGGAAAATTATGGAAGCTTCCATCGGGGTGAATAGAGAATACCGAGCATTTGCGGCGGAGTGATTTAGGAAATCGGACTGGTCAATTCGTCCATCTTTGGATTTTGCAGTGGCCTCCCGAAGAATACTAATAGGCCCATAAGAGAGAGAAAAAATGAACTATGACGATAAGATTGACGTACCGTTCAACCATGTCCATCTCTACAATATAAGACACAATGGGTGTGAGATTTCCCAAATTGAGTAATTTACTCACCTCGGACAACGTTATGGAATGCAACGACTTCAGAATATGATATCTTGCCTCCTGGTGACAACGTACATAACGTCGGCAACCGCTCTATCACCGCGTCCGAGAGTTTGTGACCTGCGATGTCCTTTATCCATTTATTAAGTGTCATCGTACACCACAGTAAAGGAAGCACACACCAGTACGATCTGCTTAAACTGGTCAGGTCGAATAAAACCATCCTGATCCGAGTCGAGGTATTTGAAGGCTTGACGAAGACGTTCTCCTTGCAAACCCTTCATCAACTGCGTAAACTCATTATCTAACGACAAGTTAAAAATAATTGCGAACAAGCTTTAGAACATGTATACATACACCCTAAGACGTGTGTGCCATTCTTTTTTCCTAGATATAGTTTAACCCAGTCGCTAAACAAATAAATAAAAAAGACAGTAAGTGACATTCGACGGGTTCCGTGTAAAAGACTTGCCAATCAAAATCGAAAGGAATGACATCGGGCCCAACGTTGGCCGTGAACACATGTATGAATTCATCATAAGTTATAGTACCAGAGCTGTCGCTGTACTCGAAAATAGAAATCAGTGAAAAGCTCGTAATCGGATAGAAATACTCACGCATCGAAGTACTGAAAAGCGATCCAATAGTCTGCGTCGGGACGCTTCAGCAGAGTCTCGAAGACGGTGAAGTCATCCCAAGATACCAAGCCCCGCCTTGAGGTATCGGCAACACGGAAAAGGATAGTAAATTGGGCACGAGCGACTTTTGTGAGGTCACTCTTCGGAGCTATAGCATCGACAAAGCTTTCTGGGTCAAGGAACCTACACCATGTATGTTTTTGTTCAGAACATGCACTATCACGACGAACGTTAATATGATTGTCCTCACTTTTCGCCATTAACCACTACTTTTGCATTTCCCTCAAAGACACGCTTCCAGCGCTTTAATTCGCTTTCTGGAGTAGCCACTACACTCCGGACGCTCTTGAGGGCCGAGTTAGTTATTGAAGACGACCCAGAGCCCGCGTTAGTGTCACAGTGGATGGTCGGAAGGATGCGCGATAACAGTGACTCGGACATATTTTCTAGTGTCCACAAGAACTCTAGGAATTATTGTCTAGCGGTATTATGGGTATCTCTAGGAGAGAAAACAAGGGAAAGACCACAAGTATACTTGTTGCAGTCCCGCCAGGGAATACTGTAACGTTCGGTCACGGTGGGCTAAGCAACAGGTGCGGGGATAAGAACCGAGTACTACTGTACACGTTACATAAGCTGGTCTAATGGATGGCCAAAAAACGTTCCCACACCAAATAGTACGTACATGATCCCCGAATCTCACAGGGGGGAAATATCAATTTTTCCTTGAAAAAAATGCTGATAAAATTGTATCTAAAGACAAAGTAAACACACCTTTTTCCCCCAGATAAAACGGTAATATGATCCAAAACTATTACTTGAATTTCTCCCTTTTATCTTAGGATGTAGTGGCAAAAAACATCGGACCTTGAATTATCATTTTTCTCACATTAAAATGTTATATGTATTAGATCATTTCATTAATATTGCTCAAAAGTTTTGTTGAAACTTTTTCACAGTCAAGTTGGTGACTAAATGACAATTCAATTCATGATTTATCTCAGCATAACAATGTAGATCTTCTCCTTCTTTCTTTACAATTTTCTCTACCCCAAATTTTAAATTTTTCTTCAAAGAAAATGAAAATGTAAGCATACAAAACAGGTTAAATGTAGAACTGATTATTTTATGATGTTGTACTGTGAAGGATATACATTTTACTAGGCCAAAACCCTTTGAATTTTATTAACCCAAGGATCTAGCAATCATTGGACTAACATTCAAAAATTACTTCATTTTTTCTTTTTTTTATACACATTTTGTTTCAAGTTTTCTTTTCAGTTCAACAGCCTTCTAATTTGTGTAGATATGTGATTCACATATATAATATTCTTTTCATCATTTAACATTTTTCTCACCAGAATAAATGATACTATAAACAGCTTCTTTCCCAAAATAAATTCTAGAAAAGTTCAATTTCAACAGTACACTCTACTTTCAACTCATCATTGATAGTTGATTCTAGACAATCACTAGTTTACACAGTCAAGTCAACAATCAACAATCTGTTACGATAACACAATTTCCGGACATCTCCTTTCCTTTTTATTCTCCGCTTTAACTTTATACTTTAAGTGCCACGCGGCATTTCCCTTTCTCGCGCCGCGTTGCCTTTCTTTTACTTTTAGACTTAACTCTCTCACGCAGTGGAGCTGGCCATACGGGCTAGACCCTATGACATCATCAGCCACTGCCTTCATCAACTGTATAGTACACATGTACAAACAAACCTGTAGTAGTATATATACCCCAATAGATCCAGGAGACTCCTCAGCGAGTCCTCCTGTTGTATACCAACTAACTCACTGCAGCCCAAGGGGTACCCACTCCCCATCTTCCACTACCTTTGTAGTGTGTTCCTGTGTGCGCCAGAGTAACTAACTCTTGGTTGTTACACAATCAGTGTTGATAGTCAGCAGTATTACAATTTATTCACAATTTAATCCATATTATTCTGGCCAGTATCATTCTAAATATATACCCCATATTCTTCACAATGTGTATCACATTTTATCAAAATTTACTTATCATAATATGACCTTAGGCACTGTTTGAACTGCAATGTGAATGTCATTTTATCTGTTTTCATTCCTTGATGAGTTCATGCAAGCCTCCTGATACAACCTTAGGGAATGAATGACAAGTATAAAAAGCTGAGGTACCTGTTTCTCACAAATAGCTTAGTTTAGTTTTTGCTGAACTACAACATTGACCTGTGTCCTGGCCCTCACACAGCACCCTCATGGTGTATCTTTCATTTTATCCTTGGTGAAGGTGAGGTGGTACAAAGCACCATTGAAATGTGAACACTCTTATATGCTAACATGGAAATAAGTGATTACTTTTATTTCTCCTTTGAGCATGAAGCTGTATAGAGCATTTTTGACTAAACTGAGACAGCATAGGTATGATTTTGAGTATAAACCGAATGTGATTAGTGCAAAGGTCATTCCACATGTTAAGGACCCAGAGCCAGGATTTATTCCTTGTACTTTCTATATAGTTTGATTGTGGACAACACCCACCAAGCTGACCACTTTATCAAAAAAAAAGATATTGGTCCCCAAAGTTGTGTGAAAGTAAATTTTATAAAAAATACAAAAAGGTATAAGATCCTCACCTCAAACTTTGTGGGTAAAGCTCTGAGGTGAAGAGTCCTTGCTACGAGGGTTTATAAAACCAAACAGAAGTATAATTAAGGAGAGGATATTGCCCATCAAAGCATATAGGCCAACCAACCACTATATCTTCCTAGTATGATGCTCTGCACCATACTTTCCCCTTGGACATTGTTTGTTGTCATTGACTCACAATTTCTAACACTCCCCCTAAAGCACTATGCAGGCCCAAGGCAGCCACAAAATGTTTACCTTTGCAAAAGGCAAGGACTTGGTAGGCACATCGGCTGTCATCTTTTTGAAGGCATGTCAAATGAAACAATACCGAATATCAATATGCTTGGTTTGTGCATGGTATTGACCGTCCTTTGAGAGGGATATTCATCAGGAAAACATGATTTTACTACCATTAGATATAGTTTGATATGATCAGGTAATAGACCAAATATAGCATTTGTGGCAAATAGTGCACTATAGATTGATATAGATGCCACTACTGTTACATATAAAGTATCTTTATTGCAATTAAAGCCAATCAGATCAGTTCAAAGTTGTTGATTATAAAATGATAGACTTCGAGTTACTGTGCTACAACAAATAAATTCTATACTACCATATTGTTTGGTATGCAAATTTACTAGCCCAATTATTAATCAAAAATGATCCACAAAAATCCAGTACATTATCTGTCCTCCAAGTAGATGGCGAAATAATCCCAGGTCCAGTAAGAGGAACCAGATAACAACTTTGATGTATGGTCCCCAGTAGAATAATAGCGCCAGGTACAACACCATATGGCTGAGGGACTGGCTTGGTAACAACATACATGTTATGAAATTGCCCAGGATTTCTAGATATTTTGTACCACTCCACATAAGCCAAAGGGCCTTTGGTCCATGAATGAGATACAATGTTGTAAGGATGAAGAATATCTGGGAGTGAGAATATGACCCTCAATCTCCCAACCTTGATCCCTATAGTGACATAGCAAGCAAAGAAGCAGTGGAGGGACAATACAGTTTGACATACCTTGTAGGCCCATTGCCTCAGCTTCATTAGTATGTGTTACAATAACAGTGTCAAATCTGCCCTCCTCTCCTCTTTTTCCAGGCTTTGCCTTTATACCATCCATACTTTGGATGCTATCTATATCATTACCTAGACTATCTAACACAAATTTGAATAAGTGCGAAATATTAAGTTGATCAAATGGAAGCTGAGCCAAGGCTACTTGATTTCTAGGGATTGTGTTCCCGCTGCTGTCATATCTGTACCGGAAGACAGAACTCTGGCACCTCTGAAGGACTTGTTCTCCGAGTCTGAAACTCCCGAACCATTAGTCTCGAACCCAGGCGTTTTGGGAAGCAGTCAAACTCAGACGCATTCCCAAAATGTCTGGTGACTTCCGTCTCAGGACAAGTGCATCGAGTCACACTGTCACACTTTTTGCTCTTTTTGGGTTGAAGTTTTAGATTCTCGTCATCATGCTTATTAGGACACCAAATAAAATATGATGCGTGACTCTAAGTTGTAGTATGAGCAACAGAGACAATTTTCAGTGAACAACAAGTCAATGCCAGCCTCGTCATATCCTTCATCACATGCTGAGGCTATAAAACACTCCTACAAGCTCCTCACTGAAGCCCGAAGGGCAAAAACCAACTACTCCTCCCAGGAAACTCGTGCAAAGCTGATTCAGTCTGTCGGAGCACAATGCAATGGCCGGACACCTTATGAATGGCAGCTGGATGCCTCTGAGGCATTTACACTGGGATAGACTGTATAATAATAGCGGGTACTGGCGCCGGTAAGACACTTGCCTTTGCTATGCCTTTGTTACTTCACAAAGAGCGTATACTTGTCATCATCTCGCCTTTGAAAAGTCTGGAGGAAGAACAGGTAAGCTTTTTGTAACATATCTCAGTCACTTACCTTTGCTTCATATCAATCCAGGCTGCATAGTTCTATCAGTGGGGAATACAGTCTGCAGATGTCAATGAAGACACATATGACGAGCACTTACACAAGGAGCTCAACGAGCAAAAATATAATACCATCTTCGCTTCCCCAGAAATAGTTATAAAAAATCCTTGTTTAAAAGGCTTGTTATGCTCACCTGCATTCCAGCGACACATGCTTGGCTATATCATTGACGAGGCCCACTGCATCTCACAGTGGGGAGGGGATTTCCGCCCTGCATATTCCCAGGTTGACCAATTGCGATCCTTTCTACCACTCAATATCCCTGTATATGCAACTTTGGCCACAATGACTCCTAATGTTCTTGCCGATGTTCGGTCAAAGCTACATATTGACTCAGCAAAATCTTTTCATTTAAACTTGGGGAATGACCGACTGAATATCACTCATGAAGTTCGTTATATCCCCAACTCCAAAGACTATTCACCTTTAAATTTTCTGGTGAGTAACGCCAAAAGACTGGAAGATATACCACGGACCTTGGTATTTGTAAATACTGTAAAAGAATTGCAGGCTGCACACCGGCATCTCAGGAAACTCTTACCTGAGAGTTTACAGGCTCAAGTCAACTTCTTGAATTCACGATGTTCTGTGCGCACCAAGAAGACTGCCTTACAAAGATTTCGTGAAGCGACAACCAGATTGTTGGTTGTAACAGAGATTGGTGGGATGGTAAGGTGAAAAAAGCATTAGTTGAACAACCGCTTAAAATGTTTGTGTAGGGTTTGGACATACCTGATGTTGAATTGGTAATCCAGTTTGGAGTGCCCAAATCCCTCACCAATTGGATGCAGAGAGCTGGTCAGGCAGCAGGGCTCCATTCAATGCAAGGTCGAGCCATTTTGCTTGTCAAGGCCTCAGTGCTCCGTAAGGTAGGTGTTAGTGTGGTGGTCAAAGAAGAACCTTTGTCAGATGGAGAGTGTGTAGTTGAAGGAGAGAAAAAAACCGACCTGGAGCTTGAAACACCAGAAGAAGACCTACAGTTCAAGAAATAAATTGAGGCATCCTTGCGTGAATGGATCGGAACAAAAGGTTGTCGAAGGCTTGTTGCTAATAGGCATTTTGACAACCCACCAGGACAATCAGGTAAGGCAAGCTATGTATCACTAACACCTATTTACGCCCATTAGCTCCCACAGGTCCTTGCTGCAATAACTGCGAGAAGATGCACTCAGATACACCCCCATCCTCATCTCCCAACAGTCCCATCAGTATACATACAGAACTGTCTAATGACACGCCCAGCACAGCTATCAATGAAACAGGCAAAAGACCCATGCACACCATAACTCAAGAACCTGTGTGACAAATATTACAGCACTTGAGCCGTGCCAAGGCTGCACTCCAGCATTGGTGTGCTCAAGTCCGGTGCTGTGACTTCTTATACTGTTCATTCACAGGTGTTGTCCTTATCCCTGACCCCACATTGACGTCCCTTGCTTCAAACCGCCGGTGGAAAACACTTGAAGAGATTCGTGAGGGCCTGCCTGCACCTTGGGCACTTGTGGATCAATATGGGGAGGAAGCTTTGAAGGTGTTGGCTGATGTAGATCATCAGGACAAGGAGCTGCGGGAAGCAGCCAAGATAGAGAAGCAAGAGTTGAAGAGGCAGGCCACAGAAGCTGCAAAGTTGAAGAGGCAGGAGGAGGTCAGGACGGAGGAGGATGCAAGAGTCATCAAGACGAAGAGCAAGGATGATACAAGGGCTATCCAAAAAAAGCCTCGCACAAGTCAGAAGGAAAATGTACCCCTTCCAGGGTTTTCTCAGTAAGTTGTTGATTCTTCGAGTGTAAAGGTTGTGCATAGCCTCATGTATCTGTTAGAGTTCAGGCCAAGCTTGACCCTCTTGTCCCACAGACACCCTCACCGCAAACCGGCCCTTGTTTATACACCAACTGGCCTGTAGATAGACTGCCAGTGTACATTGCCGATCCATCCCCCTTCATGCCAAGTGACTATAACTACACTGTTCCATACACCGCACACTCCCCATTCACTCCCATTTTCCTTTGTAAGTCACATGTGAGGAGGCCTTAGGTGTAATACTGAAGTCCTTAGCATAATGTTGTGTAGTCATAGTCGCACATAATATATATTTCATTTTTCTGCCTACACAGTGAAAATAACCAGCCTACCAAGTCTCCTCCATAGATTGCTTGTAATCACGGTTGTCCCACCAGTTCGACATTGTTTTGAGGGTGACAATGTTGAGTGCACTATTAGTAACGACATCTGGAATGATATCTGCTTTGGTTTTAGCTGTATGACCCTCTACTTCAATGTCAACCTGTGAGCTTGTGTAGGCATCATGCAGACGCTCAAGATCCTTCCCTTTGCTAGGATCTGTAAGGGAGATGCCTCGTCGGAGGGGTTGGATTTGTGTCTCCAAGTGTTTTCGGACAGCTCGAAGTGTTGGCAGTGCAGGTGCTCGATCTTTCATGAGATCCCAAGTAGCATGAACACCATGCACAGCAAATGTCACCTGCAAAAACTGTGTAATTGAAACACCTGCATAGAATAGAAATACTGACCTTACTTTCTTTGATGTTGTGCTCCTGGCCTTTGTCTATAGCGAAGAATTGGTGTGGCAGGCCAGTGGTGTTCATTAGCCAGAATCTGTCTTGTATAAACTGCCTGTGTGCCTGTCAGTGCGCTGTCAATTCTGTTATAGTTAAGCAACTTACTTGACTTGGGGGGGCCATTCATGATGGATACATTGAAGAAGTTTGAGTATTTCAATTGTATACTTTGAGTTACCCCCTTCTGCGAAGTGAAAGAGTAGGTGAGGTAGTGATTGTTCCATAACTCCAACATCTCCATTCTTGATGGCATCATGGAGGTCCAAATACCTCAACACGTCATGGTTCCACATCACAGATTGGCGGAATACCTGATCTTGCTTCTCAGCTGGCTGTAGTTTGATATTGTCGAGCACATCTGTTGATGTCAACTTTTGAATGATTGATTCAGCTATTTGTTGTGAGCCTTGGCAACATGAGTGATAGTGTCACGTAAGCTTTGATGAAACGGACCCTTGGTCTGTACATAGTTCAGTCCTTTGCGTTCCAGCAATGTGAATGCATGCATTAATCCACGACCAGCTGTAGCCCCAAGGTATTGCTTATGGAGTGAATTGGCGAAGGCCATTTGTAAGTGGAACCAGCCAAACACTGGGATGATCCAATCCATTCGGTCAAAAGCATTATGATCCTGGGCACAAAACTTGTATAGGCCACAGAGGCGCTCAATAGTGAGCTGGTCACCCACCCATGGAATGACACGCTCCATGCCAGTTTGGCGTTGTTCTTCATCAGAATGCAGCCCAAGCTGCTTAAACCATTCTGTCAATAGTTTATCGTTCCCTTCATAACTTGCTTCTTCGATATGGACTGTCCCAAGCATGTACTGTTGTGTAACATATGCTTGGCCAGAATGAAGTTGTTGAATTGGCAGAGGAGGGGTGAACACCAGATCATCTTGGTGTGAATAGGTTGCAAAGTTGAATTCAGGACATTCAATCAAATACCGTAAAACACGGAATGTGTCTCGAACATGTCTTGAAGGTGCCGCTTCACATTCCAATGCAAATATTTCAGATGTACTTAGGGGAGTTAAACGACCAGCTGCACGGTATTCCTGTAGTGTACAATTACACAGAGGAGCAATAGGTGGAGCATCTGGTTGGAAATATACAGTTGCTGCAGTCCCAGAGTCAAAGTGGCTTTGGTTGTCGATACGCTGTGAATATACACGAAATGGGATGTTGAGGTTGTCGTGGGATATGACAAATGGGTGGGATTTGACAAGGTGTTGAACCTTGTCCATTTGGTTGGAAGAATGGCAGAAATGCCCTGAGAGCGAAGGAAGGTAGTGAGAAGCTTTGGCCACCTATTATGATGATGTGAGCAGGAAAACATTAGCTGAAAAATGATTGAGATGATCACCTGGGCCGAATGAGAAAAGAAAAACATATAGAGACTGTAAAAGCACTCACAAGATATGTATTTTGCCCAGAGTTTCATTTCTCTTGTGTAGGGGTTCTTGTTAGTTGCTGAAGGAGCTCCCACAGCTTGGGTGTGCCTCCAAAGCCAGGACTCTGGAGTTTGAGGACCAAGTCGTCAATTAACAGGCTGGTAAAACCCTCTTCACTGACATCTTCGGGCAGGCACTTTGCTAACTCCTGTATGCTATTTAATTCTCTTTCAATAGCTTCCCTAACACATGGGAAGGCAAACACCTTGAGTACATCCTTTCCCCCAGTTGCACGTGCATTGTGAGTGCCCTTGGTCTGGGGTGGTTTATGCCAGCGGGCCAGTATCACTGGAAGCTCATCACTTACCATGAGAGCTGTCCTTTCATAGCGGATCTTGGGGTCCGTGATGCAGTTGTAGTTGCCCCAGCTGAGATAATCTAAGAATAAGGGAAGGTTGAGCCCAAGCATGTTCATGTATTCCAGCACCAAGCGAACTTTGGAAGCAGGAGTGCCAGTGAGTTGTGTCTTGAGTTGAGATGTGTATTGTAGCTGGACAGGGCGTATATTTAAGTTCTCTGGGTCACTACTGGGCTCTGTATCAGTGGATGATAATGAATTATGTGTATTATTAACCGCTAAGGGGGCAAATGGATTGTTATCGTCCTCGAAAGCCTCACTGCTATTGCAATTAGACAGGCTCTCACGTTCAGTGGGATCGATCATGGTTTGAAAGATAAGATAAGATTTTGATTTGTAAGCTACTGCTCGGTTCTTGTAACAATATTGCCAAACGCAGCCAACAGGTGTGACTCGATGCACTCGTCACCTATCAAAAGTCACCAGACGCTAGGACATTCCCTCCTAGCTCTGGTCACGAGACTACCAAACCATCAGTATACTCCGCATTATGTTCCTTGTGGGCTGCCAGTCAGCATAACTCTACGCTCCATTTCCACATGTGGTTGTCCACTCCGATACTCCTGCACCAAACCTCTAGTCCGCCATACATCCTCCTCGCACGTTCTAGTATTCCTTGTGGAATCTGTAGTTAGACCTTATGATACACTCCTTGCACATACATTTTCCTCTCGCTAGATAATTGTCCGCATGGAACTCCATACCTACATTACAAGTTCCTCCTTACAAGCTCCTGCTTCCCCAACAGTAAATAAGTTGTAACTCCTGTACCCCGATCCTGCAGTTTGAATATCAACTAGATTCCCTCGCCTTCTTACCAGTCCTTTTCTAAGTTCTTTTCCGATTCTTCTCCGAAGAATCTCTACTCTGCTCCTTTTCATCCTCTACTTCTCCTCCATCCACTTCTAACAAGCTAGGGACCAAGGTCCGTGAAAGGGCCTAGCACACAAGCTAAGCCGATTCCCCATCTTTCCCCCCATACTCTGTTACTCTGCCCCTGTACTCCGCAGCTCTGTTACTCCAAAGAGGCCACGGTTCTGATAGCTGCCCATGAATTTGTTAAGGAAAGTATGTAGGTGATATGTGAAAAATGGACATTAATGACTTGTTTGAATGTTTTTCAGTGTCTGGCCAGGGGAATGTGGGCATTTAGCCAGGAAAATTGATAGGGGTTTGGTTGAAAATGATGAACTGGCCTCTATACTTCCTTCCAGCTCTGCTTGTTTCTCTTCTTCTCTCTTGTAGTTGTTCAGGTAGCTTTCAAATATAGCTACTTTCTCCTGCTTACTAAGCTACTGAGTCATCTGAGAAATTTCATCCTGAAAGTTTAATGCCCTCCCAGAAAGGATGACGGACACGCCCAGACACATTTTAACCTTTGCATCTCTCCTAGAAATTGTTGATAGAAGTTGCACAAGCTTTGGCTGTTAATATAACCTCAGTGGTCTTTTTCTGGGTCCTCTATCTCCCTGGACGTCTTTTTCTCATTGTATCTTCAGAGGCATTGCATTTAGGACAGGTCCCTTATTTTGCACAGGTAATGAGGCATTGTTCTGGATAATCAGCTATGTAGCAGGCTAGAATGGGATGTATCCTCCTAACCCTTCCATCTCCCCCTGTGACTTTCATTCCACACTTGCCAGGCTCTATCAGAGGCTCCAAGAATATGCCTATTAAGTCATGAAAGAGTTGTTGAATATGTGCTGACTTTTGCTTTTTGGATAGATCATCTCCTACATGTTTGCTGACAGAAAAATAGGCAATGAGAATACAGGCATGTTTGGAAGGTTTACGGCGCATAAATCTGGGCAAATTTCCCAGAGTTAGATACACCAGATAAGCAGACTTGTTGCCAGAGAACTGGGTGAGTTATGTCTTATCTGTGGCTATGATAACAGGGGCTACACAGGCACCTTCAGGTAAGAAATTCTAGGTGAGAATATTATTATCAAATATCTGAAATGACATATTTGGATTCATGCCACCTGCCTGTACTGTGTTCCACCAATCTCCGGTCCACATCTCATTGTAAAACTTGTGCAATTTTAAAGCATTGGTGAAGATGCGCTTGGGCCTATAAACAATGTCCTTGGCATAAGCTGGATTTCCTAGCAAGGACTTGATAGCTTCAATAGAATCACAATGATAAACAATATGCTTATGCTCGGGACTATTCCTGAACCACAATTCTCTAGTCTTCCAAGTAACTAATAAAACTAAGTGAAACTCAGCCGCTGCCCAAGAGGCTATAAAAACGACTGTATTATTTACCTAAGTGAAACTACAATAGATGTTAGTTTAAGGTGATCTCTAATAAATGTAATGTAACATACCTCAGCCGCTGCCCAAGAGGCTATAGAAATGACTGAGGTATTCCTATACTAAACCCCCTACTACTTATAGTCGGAGGTGCTACTCGCTACAGTACAATGACTCCTAGGAGAACAATGGCTGCTTTGGCAGAGACCGGGTTTATCCAGTTTTGTCACTCCCACTCGAGTGCAACCGTAGTCCCATAGCTTTAGAGAATTTCCAGTGTTTTTCATGAGTGAGGGGTTTAGTGAGAATGTCTGCAACCATATCTCCTGTAGGAACATATCTGATTACTGCCTCTCCCTTTGATACTAAGTCATCTCGGATAAAATGATATTTCTGTTGAATGTGTTTTGTGCGAGCACGGAACTGTGGATCTCGTGTAAGAATGATAGCTGCTTGATTGTCACAGTGCAATGTTGTAGGTCCATTTTGAGCATGTCCAATTTCTTCAAAAAATGTCCGAAGCCATGCAAGGTGTTGTCCAGCATTGCTCAATCCAATATACTCTGACTCCGTGGAGGATAAAGCTACCATGCTTTGTCTTTTGCTTGTCCAGGAAATTGCTCCTTGGATGGTGATAAAGACAAACCCTGATGTTGATCGAGACGTGTCTGGGTCTCCAGACCAATCTGCATCTGAATATCCATAGAAATCCATGTCCATGGAGACATCTGTGCCATCATATCGTAGTTCCATGTCCCATGTTGCTTTCAGATATCGGAGGACACATTTTGCAGCTTCCCAGTGATGGCTCCTTGGAGCTGAGCTATGCCTGCTTAGTATTCCAACAACGTAGGCAATGTCTGGGCGGGTTCCAAGCATGGCATACATGAGGGAGCCTACAATTGAGAGGTATGACACTTGACGCCCTTCAATATGCATCTTGTGTTGCACAATATCTTCCCCTGGAGCATTTGCAAGGAGTTTTAATCCATGGGCCATTGGTGTCCATACTGGTTTGCAGTTCTTCATTCCAGTACGCTCCAGGACTGTGTCAATGAATTGGCGTTGCAATAGGGATATTGTTTTGTTTGAATGATCACGTTGGATTTCTATTCCGAGGATGTATTTTGCTTCTCCAAGGTCCTGCATTTTGAATATGGATTCGAGTTTGGCTTTTGTGATATCCATGAATTTCCGGGATGAAGCTCCTAGGAGGAGGTCATCTATATAGACAACAACAAAGCATATTTGTTTGTTGTCCCGGAATACATAGAGACATGTTTCTGCATTTAGTCTTGTGAAACCGAGCTCCTGGAGCTTGCGATCAAAAGTTTTGTTCCATGTACGACCAGCTTGTTTTAACCCGTAGATGGATTTCTTAAATCTCCAGCAGTATCCAGGTTGGATAGGAACACCCCTTGGAGGAAGCATGTACAGTTCTTCTTCAGGTTCTCCATTGAGATAAGCTGTGGATACGTCCATTTGATCAAGTTCTAGGTCGTACTTTGCTGCCAGGGCTAGAATAATTCGGATTGACTCTGAGTTTGCAACCGGAGCAAAAACCTCCTGGTAATCAATCCCCTCCCTTTGAGTAAAACCTCGTGCAACAATCCGGAGTTTGTATCTCTCAATGTTTCCATTTTGATCAAACTTGATCTGGAACATAGGTTTTGATGTGATGGGTTTTACTCCCTTTGGAAGTGGAACAGTGTCATATACTGCATTAGTATTGAGACTCAGGAGTTCCTCCTCCAAGGCAGACTTCCATAATTCTCCATCCGGACGTGATAAGGCTTCCTTTAGTGTCCTTGGAAGGTCTGTGTTAGATGGACCGGTACTTGCTATTCCAGCAAAGAATGTCTCCTCTGTATCAGATGTTTCTTCATGAACCTCAGGAGTGTTAGGTTTCTCCATGGAGTTATCATGCTGCTCTTTTCGAGACTGTTCCTCATCTAGAGTCCTTTGATAATCTCGGTTTTTGTCTGCAGGACGGGTCTGGCGACTGCTTCTGCGTACTCCTAGGACTTTAGCAGGCATGACTGCTCTTTTAGGAACTTGTGCAGGTACTCCAGGGAGTAGCAGCATTTGTGTATTTGTTGCCCCACTCACTCCTGAAGGTGTTGAATCACTCCTTGGAGGTGTTGTATGCCTTCCAGAAGCTGATCCAATGGACAGGCTGTCTAGCTGTATTCGGACTTTTTCCACATCAGCTGGCTGTATGTTGTGGGGCTGAAGTTTTCTTCTCCCAAATGAGTCCGGAAGAATATTTGGACATCTTCTTTCCATTGCTTGTATTGTTCCAGAGCTTCACTTTTATGTTTAGGAAATATATCCATGGAAATTTGGAGAAATCATCTACAATGATAATCCAGTACCAAAAACCCTCCCTGGAAGTTGGTTTGATTGGTCCTTCAACATCTGTGTGCACAATTTGTATGGGGTGCTTGGCTCGGTTTCCTCCAGTGGACTTGAAAGGTAATTTCTTCATCTTTCCTAAAGCACAAGGTTCACAAAACTCCAGGGTTCCGGTAAGGGTGTCTATGTCCTGGAGCTGTCTTTTTGTAACCATTCGTTGCAAGCGGTCCATTCCAATGTGTCCCATTCTCCTGTGCAATAAATTTACATCTACTGCTGCAAAAGCTGAATCCAGGTTGATTTCGGGTTTTGCTTGGATGTGATAAAGTCCTCGCTTGTGTAACGCAGTGAGGATAAGTTCCTCCTTTTTCCGAACTTCACAAGCATTTGACCCTGCTGGAAAAAGTGTTGATAACCCCGTTTTGGACAATTTGTGGACAGAGACGAGTGCTAACGTGAAGTTTGGCACAAGTAAGACATTTGACAGTGCAATGTTGTAGTCCTTTTTGCCAACAGTTGCTTGTAGGATTACTGTTCCAATGCCAATAGCATTTACAGAGGATTCATCCCCAAAACTGATCGTCCTCGGAGGATGCAGAACATGGTATGTTCCTGGCTCAAACCAGGAGCGGTGAGGGACCATGTGGGATGTTGCTCCGGAGTCAATAATAATTGTTGTTTTGGTCTTATCGGGTT